TAAAATCAGAGGATTGGGGCATGTTCTGTTATTAAGGTTACATCACTGTTTGTCACCTAAAGTCAGTTTCACAACCGTCCTACCCCCACTCGAAAATTCAAGCTGTGAAAGCCGCTTGTCAGGCGTAATTAAAAGGGGTTTGTAACGAATGGAAACAAGCCTCTTCAGAACGTCATTTTAGCTGCCAAGCCTATCCTTCCCATCAAGGACAATTACCTCTTCGTTGACAGGATTGTTTCATTCCTATCTGTTAGTCGTATGTATGCGATTGAAGTGCTGTTATTTATAGCAATCCAGGAAGTATTCGAGCTTGAAATTCATTACAGTCCCTGCTGGCTTTCTACAACCACACATCGGGGAACATCTTAGATTGCACTGCATTTAATTAAATTAAGGAACTGTTGTCGATTTTGTCACATTCTTTGCCGCTGTCTTCAGGTGCCATTTGGCCCAAGTGCTCGTTTGAAAAACCAAAAGATATCGAACTATCAAAAGTTAAATCACAACAACTATATATTTTTCTTGTTCCCATGCTAACAATTCTACTTAATGTCAGCCAGATTTTTTGTTTCTTGATGTTAAAAATCTAGGACAAATTCCACACTGCACAAGAACGGGAAGATGTTCGTCTTACTACACGCAATTCCTGCCAATAAATATGGTTTAGAACAAAGTCTACATTGTCCAGAGTAATCGGGAAAAACAAATGAAGTACATATTACGCTTTAAATTTCAACTATCTACTCAAAAGTACATCTGAATGTGTGGCCTACCTGTCATTATGTTGATTAGCATTATTTTGAAGCACAGATAATCAGAAGTCAAAGGGCGAACAGATCGAAGACCCGGTTCATCTTCAATCCTAGTTTGCCTAATAAACATTCTGTAAGGTCCATACTGCTGCGTGCAAACATAAATTGTGCTGAGTGTCGATCATGTACCGCACAAGACAGCAAATGCTACAAACGGGTTCAATCTGTGCGATGAGAACTCCAACTTCATCCCATGCTGCTAGTTGATATCGTAAGTTTTTCTGGTCGATGTGCACAAACAATACAAGCATTCCACTTAACGTCGTCAACATTTTCCAGCATTTAGGAAAACAGCAATGAAAGAGTGCATGAATTTGAATCAGTTTCATTCCAGAAATTCCACATTCCAATGATGGCAGTTGTTTGAGAAGGATACACTTGTGTGTCTTTTTGACATTCAAAGAGACAGTGTTGGCAAATTGTGGACGATTACGCAGCCAAGATGAATCCTCGATATATTGGACCGCGCAACATGTTCCACGCTGCAAAAAAATAACGTGTACAATCGCGTAGCTGGAATTCACCCCTTGTCATTTTTACGAGAGTGGTGCATCATCACTAATATTAATAGTATTAATCAGACTTTTGACGGACTTAGTATTATAATTCTTTGTTCTGCGGTTGAAACCGACAATGACAGTGGCGAGATAATATGCCATTATTCATCCACAATGAAGACTATAATGTTACTTTCATCTATTCCGACCATTTGATTGTCACTGTAAGCCTTGGTATATTGATGGTGTGGCTATTATAACGTAACAACATTTTTTTAACACTAACGGTTCACACACCTTCAAATGTGCAGCTGAGTACGTCAAACTCAAGTAAATTGGCTTCAGATCGAAGACAAGTAAATTTGTCTGGGAGACAGTAACCATAGCAACAGATACTTAGCTTGCCGTAAATCCCCTGACAGGAATAACTGATATGTTTTTTTTGTTGGAGTAAAGTGATAAGGTAAAGTCAGTCTCTACATTGGAAGTCCAGTGGCGACTGGTGCACATTTTATCTGTTACACAAACGGTCAAATTGATAGCACTGTTTCATCTCCTTTACACCATATTGATAGATTCAAGTCACTACACTAATCACCCTGCACGAAAAACAACTTGTCGATTTTATAGGCCCCTCTAAACAAGTTAATAACAAATTCCAAATAAAACTCAGAGGCAGTGGCGTATCCAGCGGGGAGGGGGGGTTCAGAGGGGCAACTTTCCGCCTGATTGATTTTTTATTTTCATTATTAGTATTTATTTATTTATTTATTTTGTTACAAATGATACTTCTTAGATGAGCAGGAAATAAACTAATCGGTGTATTTATTTATTAAATACTAGCACAAAACTCTTCAAAAACAACACCATGAAATCAAAGCAAGGTTGTTGAGACCGTAAGTTCAGCTTTTGTAATTTGTTCTCCCCCAGCATCATGTTAAATGAGCCAGCAGCCGCATTCGTTTTTGAACCCCCCCACACCAAAAGCTGGATACACCAGGACTAGTATTTCTCATAACGCTCGTTCACCAAATGAATCACGAATATGACTCCAACTATGAGTAATCATCACACCAACTCAGTGGCATTACCGTCCGAGCCATTGTGAAACTGTTCAAATTCAACAAGCCTCATGACTGCTAATCATCATACATGTTCTTCATTGTAACTCAGAATGATCAGCTTTTCGAACGGGCAAGCCCTCAAGAGGTGATATGTACATATTTGAAATTCGGAAATTGACACTCAACATATATACGTAATATAGTATAGAGTATACGTAAAATATTCTAGCTTTTACCAGATGTTTTTGGGTGGGTCCTTCCTGTTCCTTGGTTTATAAACATTTTTAGTATTTTCCAAACAAATACTGAGACCCAATCCAATTATATAGTCTTCTGTTAATGACATACACACGACTACCTGAAAATATAACTCTTGCAGGATGCGGAATCCCAAATCGTCATTTTCTTCTAGAGCGGCGTAGCTTCCATCAATTAAATTCTCTCTCTCAGCGAAAGAAATTCCGATTTGTCTTATTTTTCTCAGAAGCTCAATTTAATACTCTCCTAAGGTATCATTACAAAAATGTAATTGCATGGTGTAAAGCTTGGTTTAAAGTAAGAGGAGAACTGTAGTTATGCTTTTTTTACTGCAGCAAATGAGAGAGGTTTGGGAAAAACCCCATCCCTCTCAATTTCAACAATTAGGCCTGCGCAATGTGCATTTCATATCCTTGGAGTCTCCATTTCGTGCACTTCTTCATTCATGTCCACTTTCCGTGGGTGGACTTGTAGGCCCCAGATATGCATCTAGCAGCGTTCACAGAATAATGTAGGATGCCCACAGGACGTTGGTCGACATAATGTAAACGTGAACCGTCTTCCCTTAAGCCAGGGATTGAGGACATCTTGATCTCGTTCCTTGGGGTTTTGACTTGTTCTTTTACTGCCTTAAATTCCTGGATCTTTCTTGATAGAGCACCGGATTTGAGAAATGTGAATGCATCGTGCGTGGTCAATTCACCAATGCAGTCTGACAGTCTTGATTTTAAGAGGACTTTAACCGGGGACAAAGGAATCTCCTTGGTAATCTGATGATGAAACTGATCTTTACATCCTGCTGCAGCCGCATTTTGCACACAATTGCAGTTTTGTAAATCTGCCTAATTTCTTTTCATTCAATTTGATGGTAAACGTCAAGGAAAGTGATGAAACCTTTCAACGACCGAGTTCGTGCTACAAGCGTTGTAATAAATCTTTACTTCATGATTTCAACACAGTATTTTTACAACCAATATTATCCCAGAAAAAAAGCCGATTTGTTGCGATTTCCGATATCGTCTGTTGTATTCAGCAAAGTCACCCCTTTCAAAACCAATCACCCCAAGGACAATAAGCTGTGGTAATATACAGACGGCTGACTTCGTCTTAAAAATGTACTTTGAATCCAACGCATAACCAAACTTAAACAAATTTCCCCGAGTTGACTCAAGTGGAATGGTTGACAATGACACATAACAGGCGTCCTGTTGCTGAGCTGGATGATTGAAGATGCACGTTCTTATAGTTGGATCTGTCAGTATTAGGATGAGGTAGTTGAAGGAAGAATCGATCGCTGGTGAGCTCTACAGCATCGCACTAGACAGTATCAGCTCTCGAGACATCTCAACCTCTACAACCATCACACTGGATTAAATCAGAGGCAATCCGAGAATCACAAATGAAGTGGTGTCCGGCGACATGACGGGGGCGACGCAAGTCTTTCGACGGTTGGGTGGATGGAGAAGATCGCAAAGGGCCGAGCTCAACATTATTATGGCATCTGTCATCAAATTGGGGTTTCGGATCGGGACCAAAAGGTCTTTGCGAGCAATGATGACCAGTTCCGTACAAGTCTTGGTATAAGTAAATTCCTCAGCACCAACAGTGTGCCTACTGCCAATCGGAAGACACCTGTACTGGAAAAAAGGATTAATAACAAACGTTTATCCAATATCAGACCCATACTTGTGGCAAGATTTTATCATCAGAGGTGATGGGGACTGTATTTACCAACGTTTACGCAAGATTACACTCGTGTTCATAAGGCTTTTCCCACAACTTGTTAATGCCTGGGGGGACTTGCAAAACTACACTTGCAATATCTCTGCTTGAAAACGTTGCTGATCTATCGGTGTACATGTATTTCTAAACCCTGCTATTGGCCTAGATGAAATACATTGTGTGCAGTGATCCAACACAAATCGTGAGGGTTGGAATCTTGATATACAGTAATAACACAAATTGATGGAACGAAGGTATCCATTACTCTCTTAGTTAATGGCATAATATTTGCAGTCAAGTATATCTGATGGATAATCCATGCTTGAATCATCAATTCAGTTCATTGGCTTACTGTCATCATTACAGACTCGTCAGACGTCATAATGGTTCATGAGAAGGCCACATACTACCTTCATTTGGATTTTGTGAAATCGCGAGGACTCCGAAACTAAATCACGCCCCCCGGCTAAGAGTTTTGTGAGAATGGTATTTAGTGTGTGTAAAATGTACTTTTCTAAGTAAAATTATTTCTAGTTCAATTCTGTGCGCTGTGCACACAGAGAGTGCAGGTACATGTAAAAGCCTTTGGAAGCAGATCTAATTTTAGAAAATATACAAGATAAAAGAATGTTGGATATAAAGACAGATTACATTTGCATCATCCACAAAGGAGGCTCCATACGTAGTTTATTGATAACATACGTGCTCATCGTAGATAACATGACTACCCTACTGTAGCTATGCAAACAAGTTTCCAAGAGTCAGTAAAGGAACTGGACTTCATGATGGTCAAGCACAGTGGCCTTGCAGCAATTGACCACTGACTAAAACCAACCACCGAGTCAGTCACAGTTTTTTTATGACTCAACTGCCTGGCATTTTAGTAGGGTTTACAAAGATGGTCAATATACAGCATTCAAAACCTACCTCAATACATCTTATTACATACACTGGAAGAAGTTTGTTTCATCATGAACAAGTTGGCCAAACATTATAAGAACATCATCAGCTCAACAGTATTGAGTACAGGCCAGCAAACAAGACCCACACAAATACAAACCACACGAGCAAGCCTGGTAATATTCCATTTTATAACCCTTTATAAGCACGAGCATCTTCTGTATCATAGTGAAGCAGCAGCACAGACACAGTGTAATAACCAGTATTACGGCACAATGCTGTATTATTTTAAATACTGGTGCCGTTTAATATGATTAAATACAAACCAGCATTAATCAATGACTTCAGTCTATTTGCATATACCAAGTGGACACATAGGACTTGCAGCACAACACTCAGCACAGGCAAGTATTTCCCTAACAGTTTTCAAGACAACTTTTGTGTACAAGCCACAATGTGCACAAATGTTTGTTAAAAAGGCACAAGATTAACATCTATAGGCCTACATGTCATTTTCTAGTTCCTCCTAGATACTCCTCCCATCAATGACAGGTTAGCAATTTGGCATCATTTATAGTGGTCGAAATGAACCACTTTGAACAGGAAACAACTCAGGGCAGTTTGCAACTCTGTACTTTTGCACAGTAAATTGAATCCGGTTTGAACAGGTTCAACTTGCCTGTAATATGTTTAAACTTATTTTGAGGTCTAATCTAGTTAATTCGAGTTGAAACCCTAGTAAGGAAGCAAACAACACTGTTGCCATACGACAAATATTTGAAAGGTTCCAGTGCGGTTTGTTGACCTCAATACTCCAGCTGCTTGAGTCAGGACATCACTGATGCCGATGGACGGTGTGGGATAGAGATCCATCTGGTTCCAAGACTCAAAAGGTTCCAGTGTTAGCACACTGACCAATTATAGCCAAATAAGTAGAACTGTGCTGAGACTATTCACTGGATATTTTACTCTAAAAAAAATCCTAATGCTACAGATATGACTACATTATAAGTGAAAAATAAAAACAAAATGTTAATTGGTATGCAAAACTTGGGCTGGGGCACGAGAGCAAAGAAAGAGAATAAAAGATTTTGACATCCAAATGCAACAATGGACAATAGACATAGTTAAGGAAAAAAGGTTATATGAATTATATATTCCAGATATAACATCAACTTTTTCCTCAGGCATATCATCAATTCTAGTAATTTGAATTGCAGTTATGCAAATTCATTCATAACATTCCATATCACATCTCAAAACAACCATTACAACAACTTGTTAAAATGCTGAACAGCAGGTGAAAAGTTGATTGAAATTCAATCAAATGTTTGCAGAATTGGTCACACCTGTACCCTCATCCACTCTACAAATTCAATCTCAGAGTACTTGGTTGTTATCACTAGTAAATCACACTCTAAACCTATTTCTTGACTGGTTTACGTAACCAAACATTATACACGTATATTGCCACCGGATATTCAAATACTTTTCAGATACCACTGCTCCTCACTAAAGGATCAGATATCTGTTTAAACATGACAACTGCTAAATGCACAAACCTCAAACCACTTTGTAACAATAAGGGAAACAAATAGTTCTTCAGTTATCGTATATTTCTGACAATTTTTTTTTACTGCTGATTTCTTACAGCTTTTTTCAATCAGTGTTCACAAGCAACTGTTCAGTATGTAATTTTACTACACCTTCAAAACATGACAATCATGTGAGGGGAAATGTGTAGCTATTTGTATCTTGTTTTGTATAAAATGCTCTTTGGTCAGTGTGCCGACACCGTTCCCTTTTTATTAAGGGTGAGTTCTTTCATACTGAAGACAACTTTCTCTTTGATGGGGGCTGGAGTCAATGCCATACAGAATCTATGAAAGTTGAAGAATACAGAAACCATTATGAAAATGAAGTCAACTCGGCCCACAGTGAGCCAATACATTAGATTGAAAGCGGAGAGAGAACTAGGTTAGTGACTGGGAAACTCTATGTTCTTAATCCTATCAAATGAAAAAAACTGTGACCGTCTGAAGTCTCTTTACCTTGCCTCATGACAAATGTGCACGAAAAATGTCTAATTGTGTACAACTACTATGATTGATGAACATGTACCATTCTCATTCACACAAGCATTTAGCAGGATTAAACAAAAGAGTACTAGGTCAAAAGAAGTCACCTAGGATTGAGAGATGAGTTGTTTTTGACACCTTTCAGTAAGTATCACACAAGTCTTGATGTCAACTCAACGAGCAAGAATTGAGAAGCACACATTTTAATGGCTGTCAGGAAGAGTGTAAGGTTTAAACCTACCCTTTAAGGGGTCTTGGGTCTTGAAACAAGGAAAAAGTGTGGAAATGTAAGGAAACGTAGGAAAGTGGATCTTACCTCTTGAAATCTTCAACCTCTCTCTCTGTCTCATCCATTTCAGCCATGTCAGCATTCTCCTTAGGCATGAAGATCTCGTCTTTGAAGGAAAAAAAAATCAGGCAGGGGAGTAAATTGAAACTGGATATACATGTACTTCCACTCCAGGGTCAGTAAGTGGGTGCAGATTTCCCCAGAAAAAAAACACCGGCGTGACGGTGAGGGGATCGTATTGCTGCCAAAGGGACAGAGAGAGGAGTGATAGGAATAGGATCAATTATTGACAGAGGGATATTGTTGCTGGGAGAGGACTACGGGTGGTATTACATTAGTCTTTGTACAAGACTATGGATCCCTTCACAGTCTGGTAATTGGTTTCACAGTCTACTACTGGCATGGTGTATTGTTACCACACTTGTAAAATCAGATAATTTCACTGCCTGATTTGAAAAGTGGACTTGTGTTGGAAATTGGGAGTTAAGATATAAGTTGCTGATCTGTTGCAATGTTGCTAGCTTGTGAGGAGTTGTTGAAGTTAGATGATTGGTCTAGCTAAAACTTTTTCTTAATAGAATATCAAACGGGTTAGTCAGGATATGACAATAATCCTGAAGTGTAGTTACTGTTGTCGTAACTTGCCAGTACACAGGTCAGTTTGGTAGGATGTTGCTAGACATGCAGGTTTCTGTTTCAGAGTACTTGTGAACTTTTTGAATTTAAAATACATTAAGAAAAATTTTAACTTACAAATTAGAAAGTTTTAAAAGGATAATTGAAAGAAATGTAAGGCAAAATTGAAATGAGTACGGGGAGTCAGGTTGGTGACGTGGTTTGTTCCTTGCCTTCCACCTCCGTGGTCCTGGTTTGATTCCTGGCTCAGTCCACATGTGGCTTGGGTTTTCAGTCCCTACCTGATTCCGTGGGTTTTACCCTGAATATTCCTCTGGGGTTTTCCTCCCACCTCTAAAACTGTAACTGCTTCTCACTGTCTCCTCTCTACAGGTTTCTTCAGGCTTACTAGCTACAGTGCCCAGGGCAGTTTTGAAAAATCCTTGGTGTCATTACCAAAAATGATTGATTATAATAATTACATGCATTTACAGATAAAGCTGCATGGACGTTATCAGGCTAGGCTGGCTAGCGCAAAAAGGGCAACAGAAACCCTTTGAAATGTGAAGTAAAAATTGCATCCTTGGGTACAAACAAACAAACACACATTGGTTAGGTAGGGGTGGTTAATGCAACCATGTAAGCCACTAGGATTAAAAACACACTAGAAAAGTCCACTTTGCATCAGGTGGATGGGCTAAAACAGCGTCAATAATGGAGCACACAGGACAGGAAATGGATGCTGCCTAATGGATCAGGATGCAAGTTGGATCATTTAGAGAGAAAACACAGAGGAACATGAACAGAAGCACTCAAATGGCACAACATGCAGGTCTGCTTTTAGATATAATAGGAATGCTACACAAGTTGTTTTGCCCACCAACAGTAATCCCTAGGGACCTAAAAGCAATTCTGCAAGTACAATGTATTCACAAACAGATTCCCCCCAAAGATCTCTAGAGTCATTAGAGAAGTGAACTATTTAAAAATGCGCATGGAATTGAACAGAGTTGTGATTTCTTTTATGGCATTACTGGGAAATGGTCTTCTTTGTTGATAAAAGGGCCGAAATCGTTATGGTTACTATGGGGGGCAGGAAGAAATTTGGGTGACCTTGTTTGAAATGCTTTGCAAAATTGTGTAAAAACATTAAGTTATAGAAAACTACTCTTAAAAAGCATGTTAAGGCTTAAACCTTGTTAGAAACATTGCATTTTTGTATTTAGATCCTGTCAATGTTAGGTTCTTCTGTTATAAGTCATTTACATTTGAGAACGCTGCAGGCCATTTATGAACATTTACTTTAGCTGTGAGCTGCAGCTTTGTAATTTCAAGAGCCTGGTTGCAGGACACTGTGATAAACCTGGGCTACTTTATGAATGGATGTACATCATAGACTGAGTTTCGTATCTAGACCCACTTCAGCCTAACAATTTGGAATACTAACCACTTCCTGCCGGGCGACCGTTTTCGAGTACACAGGCTTTACATGCAGAGCTGGGGAGCCCGGAACTGGGACAAAAGAGTTGGGCCTTATAACACAAGACTGTGCTCAGCACAAAAGACTGAGCTGCTGGGCATTACCAACATTTTTTCACTATCAATAGTGGAGAAAATTCAGCCTTGTTTTGAAACAGTATACCACAGTTTGAGGCATTTAGAGCGAGCGGATTACCAGCGGGGACAAAACCTCTCCACCACCGCAGTGATGAGCCACACAGCACCACTGCACGCAAATCTGGCCCCCAATTGAAAAGAGGTCAGCAGTGCACTGTGCCTGTTTCGAGAACAAAACAATCTTAAATAACACCGCAAAATCTGGGCTCTTTTTCCAAGGCTGCAGGTCTGGCTGAAATATTCAGGAGTCAATGAATTTTACCTGTCAGCTTTAGAATAGTGCCCAAACAGTCCTTCATTTTGGTATAAATGGCCATTAAATGAAATGATGAATTTTTGAAGACTTTTGAAAACGGAAAATCTTAAAAATGAGCCGGCATCTTGTTGTGCTCAAGAAAACTCCACCTGGCAGCAAGTGGTTAAGATACGTGGTTAAGTGGTTAAGATAAGTTGAAGTTAGAGCTCAGGTCATGGCTAAAAGCTACAATTTCAGGGTGAGTGGTGACTTCTACTCACCAATGGAAGCATTGGGATTTTCTGAGGAGTTTCTTTTCTTCTTCTTCTTTTTGATATTACCATTGGTTTGTGGTTCACCAGAGATGCCATTGACTGCTATCTTGTCCTGTTTAGAGACTGAGATCTGACTGTCAGCTTTCTTGGAGGCTTGCTGAGTAGGTTGCAACTTAAAGGTCATATGATTCCTCTCCTTAACATCTTCCTTTAGTTTGGGATCATCTTGTGGCTTATGGTGGTCTTCTTGTGCTTGTTGTTTCCTGGTACTTCCTGTCTTGATGGTATTTGTAACAGGAGTTTGAGGTGCCTTCTTCAGTTGATGGTTGTTCTCATTGCTGTTCTCTGCAATCTTCTTGACATTGAGTTTACCAGTCTGCTGTTTGTGGTTATTGATGTGGTTATTGTCCTGTTCTGCTGCTGGCTTAGGTTTGGTTTGATGTTGTTGGATCTTCTGATTCTTCTCCTGTTGATTGCTGCTCGCTGTGCAACCGTCTTGTTTGGATGCCTGCTGTTGTTGCTGCTTGGTCTTGTCTTTGTTGACAGAAGTTTTGGTGTTGGTATTCAGCATTTCTGTAGGTGCTGGCTGCTGTTGTTTAGTTGTTTGCTGTGATTGTGATGTGACCTGCTTGGTTGGTGATTGACGACTACTTGACTGTTTCTGTTGATTAGATGTTACATTTTGGCTGGTAGTTTGGTTATTTTTCTGCTGTTGCTGCTTGGAACCCTGTTCTTGTTTGCCCTGTTGTTGCTGTACCTCCTTGCTACTTTTCTTCTTATTCTTCAATGATGGTGCTTCAGGTTTCCCATTCTTTTGCTGTTGCTGTTTTTGTTGCTGCTGTTTTTCTGCCTTTTCTCGCTCTTTTTGTTCTCGTTGCTGTTTCTGTTTTGCAGCTTCTTCAGCTGCTGCAGCAGCCTGTTGCTTCCTCTTTTCTTCTTCCTTTCGTTTTTCTTCTTCCCTTCTCATTGCTTCTTGTTCCTCCTGCTTAGCTTTCTCTTCAGCCTGGGAAAAACAATGTGAATAGTCTTATCTTAAAGGGATGGTCCTTCAAATCAAACAGAGCAACAAATTCAGGTGAATTTAAACCCCCATAGATGCATTATTAAAAATGATGTAGAATTTGTTTTATAACTCTTGATATGACATCAAGGCGTGGCAATTTCTGCATGACCTTGAAGAGTGAATACATAATATGTCATTTTAGCTGTTGGATGTAGGTTTCGTGCTTTGCTGAAGCAAGCTTAAGCAAGGTTTTGAAAATAACGTGTTCAATAAGAGAGTTTACTCAAAACCTTCATAACAGAAACCGTAAAGATAGGCCCTGGTTTATGTAAGGACAGTCAGGATAAACACAAAATATGCGTAGTGGTGAGACTGACCCTTCTCTGCTTCTGCCGATGTCTTTTAGCAGCTTTTGTCTTTCCACTGGTCTTCTGTCGTCGCTGTTCACCATTAATAAAAGACAGTAAATCATCCAGGGTTCGATCATCCGATAGATCCAAGTGGTCAAACTGCTCAAACTCATGGTTGTGGTCAGTAGAGGATGGCGACTGGTCTTTGGGTTGCTGTAGGATGACAGACAGGCAAGTCAGTCAGGCTGGTTACTGGTGAGATCGGCAGCATATGCCGCAGGATGTGTTTATTGACCATTCATTTAACTTTGCTGTGCATACATCCTGAAAAGTATGTCTAGAGAAATATGTAAAGCTTGGCCCAAAACGGTAAAGTTAAGGTGAAGTAAAAATTTTATTTGAGTTCAGAACTCCCAAAAACAAGCCTCACCCTTTTCTGTCTGTCTCGTAGCTTGAGCCTTAGCCGATCACGATTTTCAGTGTAGTTCCGACTTGTTGGCGCAGGTTGGGGCTGTATGAGTAAATGACATGAGATATTGATGGTGGGTGATTAAGATTCTGGGGTCAATGCATTGTCCTCAAACATCATGTTCTTTCAAGTTTGTCATACGATGAGTGTAAGGATTACAAAGGAAAAGGAGGACTGGAGGTCGAACATTAAAGATGTAAATCAGCTGCTTAAAATATAAAATCTTTTTCCCTTAGAAAAATATAAAGGGAATTCTGATGCACAGTTTAATTCTTTCAACGTTATAATGAATAATTCTTAGTTTTATCAATTTATTGCTGTATTTTTGCCATGATTACCATCTCTGCTCCCTTAACTCACCCCTCCATGACCGAAGAATTCACAGTAGTAACAGTCACAGTGCTTGGATTCTCTCTCTCGGTTGGTATTGGCTCCTCCTCGATCGTCATAGCAACTACTGTACACATCATCATCATTGATAAAATTGTGCGTCTCACAGTCAGGGTCACTGAAAGAATTGAAAGACAACATAACCCGGCAAACTGATTTGGATGGAGAGCAGATACTAGGGGTTTAGGGTGTTATTGCCTCACAGTCTGCAGGACTGAAGTCAGAATATTTTGGGTTCACCTGCAAATTACAAGGGTCCAATTCAACCAGTGGGGTTGCAGTTTGTATTCTTGGATGGGACATTCGGGGTCTCCCCAGGGAGTCAAGATGGTCTCAAGAATGTTTTATCAGCTAATAAACAGGGGTTATTGATTATGAAGTTCCTTGACTGCCAGAACTATGGAAAAAAAAGATAAAATTGTTGTCATATCAGTCATTACAATTAATGTTCCACTATCCAAGTTTGGTTTCTTAAGGATGGACAGTTTCTCCACATACCTGCAAACACTCGCTGAGGTTGGTGTGCTTGTTGTTGTCTGCATTGTGCTTGTACACAAGCCTGTTTGAGGGTCAATGACCCCAGCTGTGGAAGGATGACCATGGCAAATACAGGATTGAAGTGAACGGTCGTCACCACATTCTGCAAAGAAATAGAAATGACAGCAAATCATATTCACTAAATGTAGGTTGACATAATGAAAGTTGTGAAATGTGACTGCGCCTGTGACCAGGATCAAATAAGAAAAATATGAAAATTACAACAAACCACCGTGCATAAGATAAGCTATTGGGTATTGGTAAAGAGACTGATAGGTTGGAGTAGTACTTGTTTTCTATCTCTACGAACTAAGCTTAAATCCCACTCAAGTCTCATGTGTCTACCTTTGTCCGTTGGTGAAAAACTGGCAAGCTAAAGAGTTTCAGGTGCTTTTGAGAAATTTGTGATTGCATTACAAAGCACAAGCACATTAACTTACCATACTCACCATTTGCTAAGCTGATGCTGGTATCCAATCGAATGTCTTCTTCAGCTTTTTTCTTCTTACTCCCTTGTGGTAGGGCATCTCCATCTCCATGCAAACCATTGGTCAGGAAACCTGTGTGGCCAAGCTGACTACACTGTTGCTGATAGGCTTGCATTATAGCACTGGTTGTAGTTGAGGGTTTATTGGCTGGAAGGGTGTGCCTGGCACAACGTTCTGCCCCGCTGTCTGACCGCGTCTTTTTTGTATTATCTGTAGATGACTGGTTGCTATGGTGATGGTGATGATGCTGCGCTGACTGCTCTTTTTCTGTTGTTGCCCCTGCTGCTAGTGTTGTGCCATTGGTAGTTGCTTCAGTATACATGTGGTTAACCCTCTTCTTGTTGCTGCTGGTGTCTTTCTGAGTCTTCCCTGCATGCTGCCTACAGGGTTGATCAGACGCTGGCGTGTTAAGTGATGGTGCTCTCTCTGACGCTGCTTTACAGTTGGATTGGTGAAGCGCTGCACGAACACTCTGCAACAAGTCTGGGTCGGTACTGTGCCCGCTGCTGTAACCTCTTGAGCTAAGTGTCATCTTAGCACTCTCAAAGGCACCACTCTTCCAGTTGCCGTAGGTATGCCCGTGATGATCTCGAAGTGCATCTTGGGAATCTACACTCAGCTGGAAAGAAGTTTGCTGTTGCTGCTGTGCTGGTAACTGCTGACATGTTGCCATTTTGGTCGGTTTCTGCGTAGTTAACGTGTTGTAGAGATGAGGATGGATGTAGGGATGCTTAGCCGTAATGCCGTGATGACTGAGATCCAATGGTTGATGATTGGTTAGATTTGGATAGAAGAGATAAGACTGGGGTGGTGCAGTCAGATCTACCTTGTCAGTAATGTTACCCGTGCCAAATGTAGACGTTGGGACCTTGTGACTTCCGGTGCAAGCTGGACAAGTACAAGAACGGCTATTTGAAGTTGAATCCTGTAACATGAAAACATAATGTCTCTTAGAGTGATGGTTCAGAGTAAGTTTGAAAAAAGAATGCAACCTGGAAACTAATTTCAATTTTGATGGCTTCTGTGTCTCTATTGTAATACTATGGGCTCTATATCTCTATGAATAAATCTGAAATTTTCTTGTCTATTGGCAGTAACGAAATTACTTCTACTGTTACTAAATAATTCCTGCTCCTGAGCAGGCCAAAAAACCAATCAACTGTCAAGTCTGGTATACCCTACCTTCTGACTACTTTCTCTTGTGGACCTTTCTTTGCTTGAGCTGCCACCATCTCCATTCATTTTCCTCTGTGTCTTGGGTTTGCCACTGTCATCTACTGCTGCATTATGGGTAGGTGAGGGGGACGTGTTTGAGTCTAAGTCATCTGAATCGTCTGATTCTTCACTCCTTGGTGAACTGAACCTGTTTGAGGTGTAAGTAAAAGGTGATTCAGCAATACTCTGAGATGACAAATATGGGAATACTGAAACAAAATAATAAAATAATACAATCACAAAAAATTACCGAGTCTCAAACATTTTCCCTGAAACTGAACTTAAAAATCTAGTCTATTTGAAATTCTTGACTTTGCAAAGCACATGCATGAGAAAATTTGGCATTATGAATGAATTTAGAATGCAAGCAATGGTTGGTTCTCCAAAGTTTACATGAAGTAATTCATTTAACCCTAACACCCGAGGCTCCTGCACTAGAAAGCAGACTGAACCCAACAAATTTCAACAGATGTACTTGTCCATGCAGGTCACTGTATGAACAGAATGAGCCCGTTGCAGTTTCAGTGATATGGTATGGATTGGTCTATGCAGACTACGATGACGTACAATGAAGCAATACCAAACATGACAAAATCAAGCACAGTCCAACACTTAGTACAGCAAGCCAGACACTGCAAACAATGACCAGTGTGTCCCAACTCACACAGAATCCAACACCATCAATCTGGGCCTTTGATACCAAGTCCAACAAAATTCAACAAGAAGTTAATTGGGTATGGTACCAAACCTGAAAAAACTTAGCAAAACCTGCTGCTGGAGTTTGATGGATACTGGACAGTTAGGGTAAACCCAATTACTGAACAGGTACAGTACTGTATAGAACTAAAAACTAAATGCTGTATTCATGCTGTTAGGTTTATTCTGAGAGAACTAAATAGAATAAACAAAGATTCTTACCCTGATTGTGTAAGGTCACTCCTTGAGAAGATCTGCAGCACGCCATCACTGTCTTCTTGGGAGGAACTTTCTGATGAAGAGGATGAGGTTGAAGATAAGTCAGGAGGATTGATGTTCTGCAGGTATTTATCAAATGCTGACATCTGATCTGGATTTCCACTCTCTTGCAGGTGTTTAAGACTCAGCTCTTCACTGATATTAGGGGGAAGGAGACTGGATGTCAATCTGGCAATACTGCACTCACCACATGGACACCTGTTAGGAGAGAAATTATGCAGTGTAAGCTTTGAGAGTTTGGCAGTTGGAGTAGTTGATCACCATGAGGGCCATGGCCTTCGTGGCCCTCCCAAGGCTAAAAGCCTTGATGCCTTTAGTATTTCCACATTTAATAGGCCAAAAACGGCCTGCCCCTTTTTTGCCAAGGCCGTGGATGTCTCTTTGTGAACATCATGCGTCGCCCTTAGGACTGACCCGAAACACGGATCAATGTTCCGCTGCTTGTTGTTTTTATGCGTTTTCAATTTCTGAAAAGAAACCAGTTATATTCATGAGTTCCCTTCCCATTTCATTGCCACATTGGTGAAAATGTGTGCAAATCTCAATGCATTAAAGCAATGCTGCGCTGGTTCCCGCCACGCCATTCCCATGCAAAAGAGTGCGTGGCGGAAATGTACCAACCAGTCAAAACGTCCCAGTCGATTACACTACACTGGCCATACAGACACGCAAGCCAATAGCTGCAGGTCAAAAAAACAGCGATGTTGCGAGAGGACTTCTGCAAGTTAATTCATAGAACTTGGTCTCTTGTCTATGTATTTTCTGTCGTCACGAGTTCAATTTGAGGTTGCATTTGCTCGTACTTGAAGAGAGCATGTTTCAACAAAATTTCCTGCTGCGGCATGAGGTTTATTGTCCGCCCATCTGGATGCATCACACATGCTTAAGCAAGATACACGGACATTGTTCGGCAGTTTGCCGTCATGATTATCTGACTAGCATTGTGTGAATTGTTCATAATTCTTGCAAATTGTCGACTGTGGAAATCTGTACATAGATTAAGACAGGTAACTATAACTTTTTGAGACGATTCTTTGAAGCTTTTGTCCCCATTCTTATCATTCAACAAGAATAAAAATTGACCCCAACCCCCCCAAAAATTACAAACTATGTGGCACCAACCCTCTTTTTAAGAGGCATGTAATCGGAAGCAAAACTACTTTTTTGCCTTAACTGTCACGATCATGGTCGTGACTAAACCTCTTCATAGCTTTTGTCCTTGAGAAACGACACAATGAAACAACAAAATTCGAGGCCTGGATCACTTTCATTAAGTGGTCTGAGACACTCAATCTAACACCTTGTGGGTAATTCTACAGAAAATAGGGTTTAGCTGTCAATCAGCTTGTGAATTTTCTTGGGGTCTAACACTTTAGACTGTTCAAGTTCTAATAGAAAATTTTGCCTAGATTTCAGGTTACATCACTTTAATAAACACACTGGTGATGCCCTTCTAACTTTGCTTTAAGAATGGTATCGTCTTCATTCAGTGATAGTTCGCTGATAATGGGCACTCTAATGTTGGTACAAGAATACATATGGAAGTGAAAATAATGTTCTTGAAGAAAACGGCTATATACTTCAGCATTCTCTTACTAAAAAGACGTTAAAATTTTGTATATTTTCTTAATAAAATGCATGGGCATAATTGCCCTTAATTGACCAGCATCATGGATATAATCCTTTCTATCTACTCACTTTTTCTTACACGTTGACCCTTTGTGTTCCACTTCACTTTCACTCAGTAACCCTGAACTCCTCACAGCATGACACTTGACATAGTTTGTCTTCTCTTTGCCCCTGCTACCAGTGTGAGATTTGACTCCAATATGGTCGGTGAAGATCTTCTGCGTCTTGAGAAATTCCCAGTCACCTAACATTTGCTGTTTGGCCTTCAAACAATCCTGGAAACAAGAAAACAAATCAACTTATGCTGTAAAGTGCATTTGTTTTCAATAGTGAGATTTCAATTTAATATATATAAAACTCTGATCAGAATGTACCGGAGACATCTGCTCTTCATGATATTTATCAATAAGCTGCTGGCAGGTATTCCACTCCACAGATATCAATGTCATATCCTCATCAAACTTGATGTATCTGCAAGCAACATAAAAATGACAATAAGACTGTGGATTAATATAATGAGACTGAGTGCTTAGCAAGTTTGTGATCCAACACAACTAAAAAGCTACCTTGAATGCACTACAATATAACCTGAAGGCACTACTCAAGTCACTCAGTGGTTAACCAATACTGACCAAGCTGCTACTTGTTTTTCATCTGATTTTACTGGAAAGATGGATTTTACTGGAAAGAGTTACACATCATAGTCGAAACGGTTAGTGAAAAAAGAATATTCAACAGCCCTAAAGTTAAGTAAAGCAGGGGGTTAGTCATATGTTAGTCTTTTTTCTTAAGTCTTTTAGTCTGAGCACAGCTTGTATTTTGGTTTGGCTTTTAGGAGTAACAGAATCTATATTCAGAAGGACAGAACCATTCAGAGAATGTCTATTGCACACTTCTTTCAAATATGCTGTTTCCCAGTAGGAGAAGCATGTGTTTCTAGTTCTGTTATGGAATCTAGGTAAGTTGTGTGTGTTAGCAAGGAGACTAACTTCTGGTTAACTTCATACTCGATAACAGAGGTTATACAGTCGACTCTCGTTAATATGAGGGCCTTGGGACTTACTAAATTAGCTTGTATTATCCGGACCTTGCCTTACGCGAAAGCTACTGTCCTGCTTGATGTATGTATCACCAATCGACCGTAGGTAAAGCGTACATGTGTACAAGTATGCATAACTTTTTGTTTAAAGGCACATAGTATTGTTTTAGTAGATGAATTTGATATTAAAAAGTTTGTTTATGAAAGTGAGATACAGTTTAACTCCCCAGAGTGATTTACTAGGAACCATACCCATTCACACAAATGCCAACACCATATGGTAAACTGTACACAAAACTGTTGGACTCTGTTTATTTTGGGTATGCCTGAACCCATGTTAAAGCACAAGCAATTTAGGGGTACAGTACCCAGTGCCACAAATTCACACACTTTACTGGTGTTCAATTCTGTGTGGTTAGGGAAGGTTAGGGTTAATGAGTAAAGACTTGTAATAAAGAAGAATTACAAAATGTAAGAAAGGAAGAAACAGAATTTTCACCAGTCATGTTGATTCAAAGTGACACGTCCCCGGCCCCGCATGCCACAATAAGATCCACATGCACGCCGGTAATGTGAGTACATTAACATGTAAGTTGGTAATCAACACCAGAGCTGCGCTTGTTGCACATAAATATGGGAGGAAACCAGCTACTGGTGGCATGGACAGCAGAGGGCAAATATCGGATTTTACTTGGGAGAAGTGTGTGTTTGGTGAAAAATTATTAGTGACGGATACACTTTTTTCTTCCAAACTTGTGGTTATTTTGTTAAACATTTTTGGACTGAAAACCACAGATTAGTCATGATTTTCTTAAATTGAGAATTTATAGAAATGTCAAAATTGGAAGGGGTGATATTTTCATGTTATGGTGGGACTGGGGAGCGGGCAATGATTTTTAGACGGAGGGTGGGCAGATTTTTGGGCCGGGTGTTTGGTTACAGAACACAATTTTTATTAGTTTCCTGGGGGACTTTGGTCTTTGGGGATTTTTGGGGGGTGGGGGAATCAAACAAAAGATTTCTTTTGTTCACCGGTGTCCTAAATACCATAGCACTTTTGGCACTCGCTTGTGTTCAGGCGGTACCAGAGCCACCACAGGGAATTTCTATGTTGGGTACGGGAACCACAAATGCCCATTATTTGTCTCTCTTGCAGCACTGGACACAAATGGCTTGATTTGGTAAGGGAAAACCACAGCGCTGTTCTCCTGTACATGCATAAATTACAGAAGCGCCTTTCGAAATTGAATGGACTGGCTGATTGACAACTTGCCTTCAAAAAAGCTAGTGCTAAGTAGACAGATAACAATAGATCTGCACTCAGCCGGTGCGCAAAAAATGCTCATCTTAACTAAAATCTCATAACATCCAAGCTCGTACTACTCATTTTTTCCCTCATAGGAATGTACACAATTCCGTCGGGGCTGGCAAATATGCTCATCTAAACTGGAGTCTCGTCTTCCTTGAGCTCATATTACCGCGAGTCGACTGTAGATTGCTTGTATCTCAAAGGCTGTTCTTTGTTATTTTAATATTGTTACAATAAATGCACACGAAGTTTACTCGAGCGTATCCCAGAGAAGAAAGGAAAACCTCCAATGTGAAGTCACATGCATACCGGTAAGGTCTATTCCCCCTTTGAGTAGGACCTGCAAAGCATACTTCAGCGTCAATCTACTTTTACACAATATAAACAGCTCTTTAGTATTAAAATGAGTGTAACTGAATGAGTGATAACGCTGAGGATCTGAGTTCCCTGCATTGACAGTACTTACCTCTTCTGCAGGTGATCTTCCTTGGTTCCTCCTCCTTGCCTTAATGCATTCATCAGACAAGTAAATTTCTCTCTCAAGCCCAAGGTGACGTAGATTGTGGAACGGAACATGTGTATGTTGTGCCTCAACCATGTCAACTGGAATTTATTCAGGTGTTCTTTTTCCTGAAACAAGACACAGAGGCAAATATTACCTAAACATTAAGAGAAGAACTTTGATAAGTGAGGTATGGTGATTAAGAAATGTTTAAGGAATACAAACATAGATGCAAAGAGCTCGGTGGATCTCTTACCAGTTGTTCTAGGACTCCAGAAAGTGTCTTAGCAGCTGAACATAATGCATCATATTCCTCAAGTAACATGCTGACAAACTGTTTAGCTTGAGCTAGAGTCTTATAACCAGCAGCAAGTTGACGACTGAGACGTTCACATATCTCCTTCAGGAAATCATCTACTTCCAGCTCTAGTTGAAGGAATAGCTGATGTGGGTCATGGGTACAGAGGCGATGTAATAACTCCTTCATGCGAGGAAGAGTCAACTTGGAACTGTCTTTATCTTCTACAAGACAAAAATCAGTAGTAGTAATGAATTAATTGGCTAGTGTCACATCTACTCAAGAATAACCAGCAATCAATGTTGCAGTGCATGTGTAAATCTTTACCCGAATAATGGTCTTTTGTTCATTGCTCCAATTAGCAAAATCCAACAGAACCTATCCATCCTGCTGTCCCCACGGCAGGGTGGGGTTTAATATTAATTTAATTATTGTCACATTGGTGAACACCACTATACAATGGTGCCTTTGCCTCAAAGTGGTTATTTTTATGCTTGCACCATTGCATCTTGCTCTTTAAAGATCCCCACAATACCTACATGAAGCAAAACAGAATACACTTTACTAGTGCTGCCCTTAAAGAAATTGGTTTTCAATGGGATAAAAAGAGAAGACAAACAACACCAAGAAACTGACCTGCTAACGCTGTGCCTGCTTCCCAATAGACACATCGTACTACATGACTCAATTCACTCCAACTCTCTGCTAACTGTTGTCGTACCATCTCCTGCTCTGCAGCTATCTCTCGTCGTTCACGACATGGCTCACAGCTGCAGGTTGCTTCACTGCCTTTGATTGCAGTAGTTCCAAGCAGGCTTGCAGGAACGTTGAGTGTACCATCTGGTTTCAGTAGCGGTGAGAAGGAAGGCTGTAGCAGGAAATCATGAGCCTGGGACATGATATGGAAATAGTCATTAAACAAAGGAAAACAGCGTTAAACTCAAAGGAGCATTACATTCTTTTAAAAAATATATCAAGTATTAGAAAACATTCTTCAGCATTAAATAAATTAGTTCACTTCCTGCAGTTGTCTATATTGCCCCAAACAAGTTAACACGCATACAATATCAGCAAACATGGCAGAAAGTTAAAAAAAAATGACCCTTAAAAAAAATGACCCTTTAAAAATAATGTAGCAGATACACAACTTCCACAAACTAAAAGCTAAACATATGGCTACTAAGAAGTGCAATCTTGTAGGTAACATTAACATGACTCAGACTTTAGCTAAAAACCTGAGAGTAATAACTCACTGGTGCAGGAGGTTGAGAATTCTGTGTTGAATTTCTTTCATCTTCTTCTTCAACAGTGCGTCTGCAATCTGGGCACAGCCAGAGTGAAACCTGAGAAGAAGAATTGGATGAAGCAGAATTCTGACTGTTTGTTGGGGGAGGGGGGAGGAAGGGCTCTCTCGAACTAAAAACAGTTTCTTTTGTAAACTGACATTCCCATGGAAATACATCAAGATATACATGTAAGTAATGGACAATCTTTCACTTTCAATAAAATGTGCTTGTCTGCTATCTAAATTTCAATTTTCTTTGCTGTCTTGGCTTCATGGCTGTGCATACCCATTACAAACATTAATTTATGTTAAAATAACAAACTAAGCTAAACCAACACACCTACCCCCTCCCCAATCTGTCAACTTGTCGCTACAAAATAGCACTAGGATTCTGCTTAAACATTAAGGAAAGAATCAAGCAACATTTACCGAATAGACCATAACAACATCAATCACAACAAAACATTACTGGTATATACTGTAGCATATAATAGATTCATAAGAGTTGAGTCTACATGCGTGAGATGTACCGGTAGCTACTACAATATCACAACAGGTTTGATATCCTTAGGTCATGCAAGCAGAAGGAATGTCCCAGTACTTTACCGGTAGTTTACTGCAGTGAGGGATTTTGGATGATTCAGGAAATTTTACCAAAAAAGTAAAGGAAGTTACATGTAAATGAAGGTTTAAGGAATCAGACAAGAAGATTTACATACAGTTATCTTTTACATTGAATGTAACCTCCACTCAGATCAAAACATATTTAAACAATTAACTTCCGTGATGCAAATTTCCTCCAAGTTCATATGTGTATCCACATAAGTACACAAGCAGAGTTATTTCTCATTTTAAAACTGTGTACAGAACAGGATCTCAACACCGTGAAGCCAGGCCCTATGTACCACAAGTTCCATGTATGTGTACATACCCTGCAAGGAGAATGTGTAATTATATGTACAGGTATTTCATCTTATCATGAATGTATAGTGTTCCTTTTCACCCTCGTTGATAAAAGTGCATGAACCGCATACAATGTATAGTAGCTTCTCAACACGTCTTTTGTTTTTCTGTCATTGTGATCATATGGTTGTCTAGGATATCCACATGTATACTCCTACAGGCAATTTATTCTTGATTTCAATTTACAATTTAAGCAACTTCCATGGACAGCTGTTTACAAATTACACACAAGAATGAAATTCACAGAAACACACGCAGCCCAGTGTCTGGGTATTTTGTTCTAAACCCTACAAAGAGCTACAAGGGTTCCAGTTTTATTCCGACAGATAGTCACACTTCCTGTGAGAGTAGGCTGAAGCACATCAAATATGTGACTGGCCAAACCGTGGGGCTGTCTGAACATGCATGCACTCGGCAATTCATGAGCATACTACCTCCTGTTTCCACTGTGTTGCACTAACAACATACCAACCATGCATGCATATATACATGATAATCAAAATAAGACATGAGTCATGATGGCAGGAATTTCTTTCTGAGTTTCAATATTGCATCTCTCAAGGATTTTATGCATAACGGTTTTGGATATATACATTATCATTCCCTGTGCCATGAATATGGATAAAATGTATCACACTACGCCATGAATATGGATAAAATATATCACACTATTTAACTATTATACGTTCTATTCCATTCAAGTTCACTTTTAATTTTTCTAGGTTAAATTTTGGATTTTTAATGATTCAAATACATGCGGGCAATTCTGGAAATTGGGGTCCAAAGTGTGACATTTGCGTGTCCCTGTTACATCTGACCTTGGTTATTTGACATGAAAGTATCACCCGAATCAATTTTCAACTGTTACTTTTTTGTTTGGCAGTTTATCAAAAAAGTGTTCTGAACTTACAAAATTACCCAGTATGTGAGATGTGACTCGGACAAGAAAAAATGGACCCCTAAGTTCTGGAATTACCCATGTTCATACATGTATATCATAGTATTAAAGTACATTAATGTACATGTACTATACATGTAGCTTGTGAGTAAATGACTGTGTGAGAAATGTTACTTTATTAACTGCACGATATGTCACACAATCATGTCCACCAGTGATCGAAAGGCTAAACGATTCAGTCCCATGGAGAAATCAACTGGGATGACTTAAGTTCATGGAAGTGCAAATGAATATCATGTATGTGTACTCTGTAATAAATTGCATGAAGTCAACAGAACAAATACTGGTGCCTACCAAAACTATATACATGTATACCAGTATGTACATGTACTGTATTTAGCACTGTTAGCACTGTACAATGTATGTACATGCACAGTACATGTACAAGTACAATGTACAAGAAAATGTGTACAGTGTACATTGTACATGGCACTGTACATGTGAACATGTACACCAGGCCCATTATATAGAACTGTTTCTGTCCTTCACCTAGCCTCTCAACTGACCTTTTGACCCCCAGGGTTTTACTCCAGAAAGTGTCCATAATGAGGCACTAGTAGAGGTATAGATTCATAAAGGGAACATTCACAGTCCTTATTGTACCCGTTGGGCGAGATGCATCTTATTTAGAGCCGTCTGTAACGCATTTTGAATTCTTCAAGTTTTAAGAGGGTTTCTGGAGGCTACCGGTAGGTGAGGACAGAACTTCATTAATGGACGAGATTACATTTCTTATGAAGAGGATGTCATTTTGAGATGGCAAACTGAGACAGTCCAATAGTTGGAAGAAGCATTGTCTGACCTTGTACATCAACCCTGTCTGTCCTGCGAATCCAAGATTAAAAACGGCTTGTCTTCTCCCGGTACACATTTTGAAACTGATACCCCTTGGTGCTGTTTGAAGTCATACATGTATTTCCACTGTACCCAATATTTTGGAAGTGAATTTAAAGATTTGTTGAACAGTGGTAAAAGATTTGGGGGGAAAAATAAACAAAACAAAACAGGGTTTGTAAATTTGGAGCCAGCAAAAACTGCCTGTGTAAATTTGGTTCGGCTAGATGAGACACTACCTGTTGGAACCAACAAACAAGTGGGAGCTTTTTGTTGAGAGTGGGGGCTTTCTGTTGAGACGTTGGTGAAGTATTGTTGCATCTGCTCTGTTCATTGTAAGTAATGGAAAAACCCTTCAGGATATTCCAGACAGTGGATATTCTTGGGTTGCACTGAATCAGTGTTCGTTGACTGCAGGAGGTCTAAGCCACATGAAATTCCCCCAAATTGAACATACATGTACAAGTAGGATGAGGCTATCATCTAATGGATGCTTGACTATAAAACTCTGGAATCAAGGCACATCTGCTGTGATCTCATTGCAATCTAAAGTAGTTACAGTTGCAATTCAATTTAGGACTATTTCCCAAAAAAAATTGGATTTAAGGAATTGGAAAAAAATCGAAACATTTCTGATGACTCACTCACTCAAAACCTTTTCAGTGTAAAGCACAAGTGAAGGGGTACAATTTATACCTACATCCCCCCAACTAGAACAATGTATACCTACATCCCCTCAATAGCCCAAGTGAAGGGGTAAAATGTATACCTACATCCCCCACCAGCACAAATGAAGGGGCACAATGTATACCTACATCCTCCCACTTGCACAAGTGAAGGGGTACAATGTATACCTACATCCCCCACTAGCCCAAGTGAAGGGGTACAATGTATACCTACATCCCCCACTAGCACTAGTGAAGGGGTACAATGTATACCTACATCCCCCACTAGCACAAGTGATGGGGTACAGTGTATACCTACATCCCCCCACTAGCCCAAGTGAAGGGGTACAATGTATACCTACATCCCCCACTAGCACAAGTGATGGGGTACAGTGTATACCTACATCCCTCCACTTGCACAAGTGAAGGGGTACATTGTATACCTACATCCCCCACCAGCACAAATGAAGGGGTAAAATGTATACCTACATCCCCCACTAGCACAAGTGAAGGGGTACAGTGTATACCTACACCCCCCCACTTGCACAAGTGAAGGGGTACATTGTATACCTACATCCCCCCACTAGCCCAAGTGAAGGGGTACAGCGTATACCTACACCCCCCCCACTTGCACAAGTGAAGGGGTACAGTGTATACCTACATTCCTCCACTTGCACAAGTGAGGGGGTACAGTGTATACCTACACCCCCCCACTTGCACAAGTGAGGGGGTACAGTGTATACCTACACCCCCCACTTGCACAATTGAAGGTGTACAGTGTATACCTACATCCCTCCACTTGCACAAGTGAGGGGGTACAGTGTATACCTACATCCCCCCACTAGCACTAGTGAAGGGGTACAATGTATACCTACATCCCCCACTAGCACAAGTGATGGGGTACAGTGTACACCTACATCCCTCCACTTGCACAAGTGATGGGGTACAGTGTATACCTACACCCCTCCCACTTGCACAAGTGAAAGGGTACAGTGTATACCTACATCCCTTCACTTGCACAAGTGAGGGGGTACAGTGTATACCTACACCCCCCCCCCACTTGCACAAGTGAAGGGGTACAGTGTATACCTACATCCCTCCACTTGCACAAGTGAGGGGGTACAGTGTATACCTACATCCCTCCACTTGCACAAGTGAGGGGGTACAGTGTATACCTACACCCCCCCACTTGCACAAGTGAGGGGGTACAGTGTATACCTACACCCCCCCACTTGCACAAGTGAACGGGTACATTGTATACCTACATGTACATCCCCCCACTTGCACAAGTGAAGGGGTACAATGTATTCCTACATCCCTTTCATATTTCCTACATGTATTTAAGCAAGATCCAAACAGATCAAATGATTTTTTGAAATCCTACCGGTGTATTGTTAGATTGATTGGTATCTTTGCTGTCGCCGGTCTGTGGGGGTACTTTGTGGGTAGGAAGGTCTGGTCGTTCACGCCTACATAGTAGACAATGTTCTTTGTCGTGAGAGTTTTCCCGAACTGGAAGGTAGGGATTGATTCCACTGGGTCGCTGAGTCAAGGGCTACCGTAGACAAAGACAACAAAACAAAATTGTTAGAAATTTACTGAATTATACAGAAATATGCTGAATAGTTACATACACATGAAGTACAAGTTTATTAAGTTATTTCATAGACAACTTGAACTGTGCATCTTATAGACAGAGAGACAGAATATTCAGCAAAATCTGTTTTTAAGAATATGCTGGTTTAGAATAAGAATACAATTTACACGAACATTAACCTGATGGAAACATACACTGTAATATTCATGTGGAAGGGGGAATTTTTGTTCCTCTATTAAACTGCAAGAAAAAGTATCTTCCAGTACCAATGCGCGGCCTAAGCAAAAGCATACAATTAATGTTACCCAATAGTTGATTTGGAACAATTTTGCTTTGAGTAGCCAGAACAGAAAGAAGGAAGTTGCACATCTGAGATATGTGAAGCAATGCCAGCCTCATTGTATTGCATAATTTCCTGTACCATGAATACATGTACATGTACAGTACATAAACAAGTGGTTAGTACTGCAAGGATACTGCACAAGATTTGCTACACATGCACTTGTTGCTAGCCACCTGCCAAGTAACAAACTGAAGATGTCCAAGTACATATTTTTGCATTACTTTAGTCTACCATTTACTCTATTCAGATACAAACCTTGCCATACCCATGCTAGGTTTGTGTGACTTTGATCATGTATTTAATTACTTTGGAAGTCCAATCCACAGATGATGTGACAAAATTTAAATACTTTAAAAAATCACATCTTATTTATGATAATTTTGAGCTAGAACCAAATCATCAGAATGCATCTTTAAGATGCTCCTTTGCACATTTAAAAAGGTCAAGAGGACCTGGGTATGAACAGTCATAGTGCACACATTACACATTAGGCTCCCAAGGTCACATACACACACATGGTAGCTTGGTAGGAGACAAACTGTAACAGATACGGTACATGTGTACATGTACAATCTAGGCTTCCTGTTCAGGGATGTCTGTAGTGCATACATGTATGTGTCTACATGTACATGTAGGTTCAGCAACATTAGCATCAATGCTTGGCTTCCCAGTTCACATCAGTCTTCTGAAGTGGAAATGTCCATGCAAATTGTAGCTACATGCACCAGACCTTTTGAAAAATTGTAACGTGCTAGGGCTAATGCTGCCCATTTCACTAATGCTTAAAAGGCTATGATTAATAAGCAGGAGGCTCAGCCTCGTCCTCTCCCAGTCCCACCCTATCAGTTCCTTGAAGGGATGTCCTGTTTGTTCTTCACTGCTCACATGTACATGTACATGTATATGCATGTGAGCAATGAAGATTAAACATGTACATGTAAGTAGACATGTCTGCTGTGTAGCAATGTAATTTATTTCGACACCCAATAGACATAGACATGTAACTGAACACTGTGTCAGTATCCATTGGTCACTGTGCTTATAACCTTTGACATGGAGTCAGTTTAACTTGCATAAAACAGGCATTGCAGCTTGAGTATTTACGTCTAAATGTACATGTAGGGAAGTATCATCTCAGCATGTTCTGGTAGCATCCCATGTCATACATTGTATGTTTCAAGCGGGGAGTTGTCTGCTGTCTTACATGGATAAGATTAGGTATCCAGTCTAATGCAAATTCATGCATGGATGGTACTAGACTCGTCTTAGCTCTTATTATGCTATTATACATGTACAGTACAGTCCTATGCCAATGTATTGAACAGGCTGCATACACAGCCCTGAAATGCCAGAGATAGCTGGATTGTATTGATTTATCTTAAAGGGCCAAGCTAACGCAGTGTATTGCTGAGCAGTTTTGTTACTACAATCTTCACAAGTCAGCCCCACCTACCGGTAGATAGTGTACACAGACATTAAAGGACAAAAAAAACAGCCAATATTTATTTGTCTGCTTTTCAAAAATTTCATTTTTGAATGTAGATAAAGAAAAGTTGAAAAAGTTGAAACACTGAAAAGAAATATTTCATTTTCATAAAAGTTTTCATTTTCAAATGACTTACCGGTACATTGTATCACCACATTTCAGCTGTGAGATGGGCCAAAATAACCCAGCTATTTTAGGGTTTCAGAACTTACTGAATGAATCAACAAAACATTTCTTACATTACAGCCTACTGAAAATCTAATTCCAGTAAAAGTCCAATGTTTGCGGAAAATAGTTCCCCATTCAAACTGCTAGTATCCAATCCACTGAATCAGTTGTGTGTAATCTCTAGACTAGATTTGCTACGACCTTACAACACTGGACACAAAGCATGGCAATATTCCAAAATGTTTTACATGCACATTTCAACACGTACATGAGCAGGTACATGGACTTCCGTACATTCTTTTGTGTAACAAATGTACAGAATAAAACTTATTGTTAATGAAGATATTTGTCTTTGCATGAACCACAATGGCACCGATCACATCTGATCTATTTCCAATCCAATGTTATTGTGATAACTGTTATATTGATAAAGGGTACCACTTCATGGGTTGTTTTACAGGACAGGCCACTTTGTTTTATAAACTAGCTGAAAACATTTGTCAAACAATAATCATTTGCATAAATATTTTTTTTTCACAAGACATGGATGTATACATGTACTTTAGTACATGTACATGCAACACAAACCAACCAAACTACACATAACATGAGTTTGTGATTGCATGTACTGGTATATATATCTTACTAATGTCTATGACATTTGCTCAATGGTCATACATACATTTTACTTGTCATGGAGTAAACTCTTTTACCTGAGGAATATTGTCCAGATCCAGTTCAGACAATGTGGCCGACATTTTTGCCGCTGTCATTATCTGCCATAAGATAAACAGAATATTTTGGCTTTTGAATCCACATACATGTACGTGTAGCTCCTTCCAAGCTTCCATTGAGCAAGTATAATTTATGGGATTATAACGTCTGAGAAAACCTTTAAGCTGTGGCTTTTTAAACTGGTTTAAAATTTGTACCAATAAAAATGTCATTACTGCCAGAATACATGCAGACAACTCACAGAATTCTTGCAGTTTGTCATGTGACTTACTGGCACATGAATATAATATGTTAATGAATACATGCACCCCTTAATGTTTGCCTGAACAAATTTCTAACAGATTATCAGGTATCCCAGACCCATACATGTTTTGTACATCATATGATCATAACATTTATAAAACAGATTCTTGTGGGGAATTCCTTGAAGTGCTACATGTATTTAAGGAAGTGTGGAAAGTTGTTCAAATTATATATTCTTAGGCAAAAGTTTTTTTAAGCTGCCTACCTTCCAGATTCAGAAATTGAAAAACAAAACAAATTTCTTTTAATTTGAGAAGTCTGGGATCCGCCAACCAACAAGTTACCGCTACAAATGTGCACAAATTGATTTCAATTTTTTGTGCTTTGGTCCTGGGCAGCTGGTGCTAGTGGTAAGGGATATCTCATTTTTCTTTTTCTTTTTTGGGAAAGAATTTGTTGGTATTCTAATATTCTTCCTTCCTATCTAAAGACACAATTTGTTTTTCTTCAGACCACAGAAAACCTTTTTTTTCCTTACTCCACTAAATTTTGTCTTAAAACAATCCAAGCAAAATCCAAACAAACACCAACTTATAAAAAAGTGCTTGCCTTAAAAAAATGAAATATTTGGTGGGTATTTCAAAACTTTCATATAGGGATTGCTGAAAACAGGATTTTTCCCCCTCCCCTGTGATTGGAAATGGTCAAGCTGCCATGAAGAAGTTGTCCACCAACCTGACACATGCGCAATGCATTTACACATGCACACACGGTGTATGGTGTAATGGGAAAATGAGAGGGTGTTGACTTAAAGCTCTTATTTTGTCTAAACAGTCAGTCACGTAGTCAAAAGTCATTATTTTTAGGGGAAAATTTGATTGAGATATTGAAATTCTCAACTTGAATAAATTTATCTGTGAACGTTGGACTTAAAACCCATTGTTACAAACCTCATAAACAGTAAGATTGATAACGTTGGGCTACTCCCGCAACTGTGGGGTTTGTCGCCTGCTACGCTTCAGAGTGGGAGTGAGGTAGACAACAAACCCCATGATGGTTCTGGGTGTAACGTTGGGCATGTTTGGCTGTTAATCCTAGAATTGTGAGGTACACTGTACCTCACAATTCTGAATCCTCACTGAGGATTCTGAATGTGCCCATTTATTTTGTATAAAACTGCACTGTCCGTTGAACGGAAGACTGGTTCCCATCCTGTCCAATTCCTCATAATGTATAATAGAGACGACGACCAGTCCAATCAGGTATGATACATCTTATCATTGGCAACCTTGACTCCATGAGCTGTGTGCGTGTTCATTGATGGGGAACCAATATTGTGTGACAAGATCGTACCAACAGAAATGAGGTTGCGTTATTGGACTGGTCACTGCAGTACACAGCTCAAAAGTGCAGATCGTTTGTTGAAGAGAGGCAAGATCGTAAGTAAAAGGTCTCATGGGCTGTGTACGTATTTGTTCATGGGGAACCAACATTGCATGACAAGATCGTACCAACAGAAATGAGGTTGCGTTATTGGACTGGTCACTGCAGTACACAGCTCAAAAGTGCGGATCGTTTGTTGAAGAGAGGCAAGATCGTAAGTAAAAGGTCTGAATTTTGCCAAAAATAGCTCGTAAATGGTCCAAACAATGTTTGCAGGTTAATGAGATATTATTTTGTGTGGATGGCTTTTGGTGGAAGATTTGATAGAAAAATTCAGTTTTAGTCAGAATAAACGGGCTCACTAAGAATCCCACAGTGTATCAAAGCAATGAAAATTTGGAACCTCGGTGTGCCTCTCAATTCTTGGAGCATTTGGCAAATATGCACAAACACTCGACCTCTGCCTGATTTAGCAGTCTTTAATTTGTCAATTAATTCAAGATTTGGCCATTAGCCATTCATCTTCTCTGTCTATGTAACATTAGGGTCTATGTAACATTAGGGCCTAGGTCCTGTAATGTGGAAGATGGGTCATGCTTTTAATGTCAACAAGCATCAATGCGCGTCAGCAAAAGCATCAACAAGTCATGAAAGCATATATTGATATTTGAGTGTGGAAATTTGAGCGACAAAGTCGAGTGTTCTCATGCAGCCCGACCGGCCGACATCTTATTTTCGTGTGGACAGCAGAGAAAAGAAAGATGACAGCCCTTCATACATGTAAATTGCAAAAAATTTCATTTTCCTGTGAGAATTTGAGACCAAATTTGCTGTTTCTCTTACACAGTGGCAGGTGTTAGAGTCTCTAAAATATGATTAAAACCACTTTTAAATCTGTAGAGGGTATTTTCAATATGAAATGATATTTGAGTGTTGAAATTTGAGTGACAAAGTCTAGCCTGTTTGTGCAGTCTGACCGGCCCACATCTTGTTTTCGCATGGACAGCAGACAAAAGAAAGATGGCAGCTCCCATACATCGTGAAAAATTCCAGCGAGAATCTGGAAGCAAATTTTGAGTTTCTCTTAAACAGTGCCAAGAGTTAGAGTCTCTAAAGTATAATAAAACCACTTTTAAATCTGTAGAGGATTTGTCCAAGTTGTTGAACCTTTGTTGACGCTACTTGTGTGTGTTGACGCTTGTTGACGCTAAATAGCATGGTTGAAAAGAAAAGAGGGAAGGGCTTCGGTTTATGAGGGATATTATGGGGTAAAACGGCAGCGTAAATGATGTGACGAAGAGCTGTGAACGAAGACGAATCAGCGCATGTAGTCTGGTTCCTTGACCTAGAACCATAAAAGTTTTTTATGAAATTCAATATATCCACAATGGCTGGGTCGGGTAACAAGATGTGAAACATTATGGCGTGATGCTGTCGTCTTTCACCAAACTTGGTAAAAAATTTTGGTTTTCTTGCTTAAATATTGTAAAAATTTACCTAAACTAGAGCTACTAGGATTAAGGCATGGATCCTCAAGGTCTGAAAGTTAGTTTGAAAAGTAGAATTCGTTTTCCCTATTACAGGAAGAGGGTGCTCATGTTGGTAATGAATTTCAGAACTGTGGGCATGGTCTACCTCTACTGAGTGGAGCGTTAGTATTCCTCTTTTTTGATTTTTGACGGGATCGTCATACTAACGCTCCACGCCCATACATGTAATACGGTGAAATGGTTCTTAAAATTGGTGATATGGTGATAGCGGTATTTTTGGTGAGTCTTTGGAATTTTTGAGAACCGTTTTCACCTTACTATATGCACGGACGTGGAGCGTTAGTATGACAATGCCGTCCAAAATCAAAAAAGAGGAATAGGGCCTTCTAAAACTTTAGCTCCACTCTGCAGAGCTAGGCACGGTCATGAGTCTGTGGGGTTCGTTGCAGCACGGTGGACAACAAATTCCACAGTTCTAGGGGTACCCAACATTCAAACTTAAACTATAAGTTGTAACAGTTGCCATTTCCAACGATGAAACTGCATGTAATTAATGTAGTAGGGTACATTCACGTTACCTGATCACTAATTCCTGCCTGCTTTTGTTGACCATGTTGACGACTAGGCTTGGCATTCCCACCGACACCGCCCCGTTTATTTCTCCTCCTTTTGCTTCTTTTCATGTCAGATGCGCTCATATTGATGCTTAAATATGCTACTGTAGGTATCAAGTATTCATCTGACACAAAAGTTTTGTTTTTCAAAGACTGCAATCGTGAACTTGGTTCGAGTTTTCTGTGCTTCTCTCACCACAGCATTTGACATGGAATCTTGCTCAATCCAATCCAAGATGGCGACTTCCCTTCAATTTGTTTTTGTTTATAAATATCACTGATATTATTTTACAAAATGGTACTCATCTAGACATTCATTTATAACCCAAATTTTTAGGAACATTGTATTTATTAATATTTGGAGGGAAATTTACGCATAAACTGGGCAAATCTTTAAAATATGAACTAGCTTTTTCTGACGTCACTTGTGTGGAGTAAAATGAACAAACAAGCGAACATTCCGTAATTGGACTAAATCGTGTTGAGGGAAGTGATATTTCAGCCCTCGGGAAGGATTAATTAAAGGAAAAACTCAACTATCATGGTTGGTTTTGATTTGTTTTTCCAGAGTGACGTTTTTGACAAACGTTCACAACATTTTCGCCCTCGCAAAAAATGAAATTGATGTGAATTGTAATTACTGATCAGGAAGGGCATACTTGCTCACCCGAGAAAAAGAAAATAAAAAAGGGGAAATTGTGTGAGGGGAAATATGAAAGAAACGGGGAAAAAATGAAAGGGAGATGAAAATAACCAATTTGCTTAGAAAGAAAATTCATAAAAGCCCCCTTCCACAGTAAATGATTTTTCACAAGAGTGCTTCCCCAGTCCCATGGAAAAAGTACTTTCCCACCCACCCACCCCCCCCTCCAAAATCCTGGCAACACCCATGCTTCCTCCCAATTATTTTTATAAGAACATGTTTAACCATGGAGCTCTATGGTTTAACTTTGGTTTAACTGGAATACAGGCAATTCACAATTGTGTGCCTCCAAGAGTTTGCAACGCGTTGACCAATCACAGAGTTTCCAAATGCACATTTGGTCGACAGATTTCGCGCATTATGATTAATCAATGCATTACAAACTCTTGAAAGCGCACTTTTGTGAAATGCCAGTATTAAGGTAGTCAATGAATGTCCGTTGCCTGTTTACTCGTTCTTTACAGTAATCCATACATTATTTTTTTGCATGTCGAGTGGTACAGTTACTGCTCCTTTAACGACAAATATATGCACATTGGCATTATGAAGTTTTAGTTCCCGCCGCCATCCTCTTTATATACATGTATATTTACGTACGTACGTACGTACGTGCGGACAGTAAAAGTGGAGGTAAGATGTGTGTAATTTGGATGGATTTCGGGGGGTGTTTGTAGTTCACTCCTGATATTTGTTTTATTCGAAGTAGTAAAGAGATAGTGTGAAACAATACAGCATCGTTATACCACTCTTTTTTTTTTGCAGTATTTTCCAAGTAGCCTTTTCCCCACTCCTTCAGACATGTCAGACGTGATAATTCAACAACAAATAATATGACGAATTTTGATTAACTTGATATCATATACCATGTATGCACTAAGCCCTGTATAGTATGTGCATGTGTGACCGTAGACCATGGACGCGCATGTTTTATTTCCAGATTGCTGTGATCCGGCCTGCTCGGTGGCACTTCCTTCTTTTTTATAAAAGAAGTGGCTATTTACATGTACCGCAGTAACCGTAACTCGACTTCCAAATGCACAATCAATTATCATTGGCATTGCAAATCATATCTGGTTATGCACAGAGTAGGCCTACATCATGGCCTATGGTTTCATTGTCCAGTTATTGTTGAGGCATCGATACACACGCTGCTGTGCCATCCCCATGTGTCGGGATCAGGATCAAGTCCGCTTGAAATGCAATTTTTTTCCCATTATTTATTTTTCCTTTTAACTTTATTTTCTAAATCAGATCACATGTTTATTTTTATACATCATGAACATGTTTTTCTTATCTTATCTTTTTTGGTTGATTCATACCTGATATCAAGTCTGAGATCCTCTCATTGTAGACTGGTCTGGTTCCTGTTTCCAGTGCACCCAACTGGTGAAAATAAGTAGACAGAAACCTGTCTAAACTTCCGTAACAGTAGCCACTGCCTATTGCAATATAAAGCTGGGGTAAGACTGTAAGAGTTCCTATGTCTTTTTCTCCTATGTATACATGTGTAGACATCAATATTTTTCCATTGGTGTGTGTGTGTCTGTATGTCATCAGAAAGTGATAGCATGTCCTGAAAAGTCAAATTTAACAGGGAAGACATTGGAAAATTTACTTAGAAAACACTAACATAGGCCCAAATTACAGTTTTTTGGACCAGTCTCGTAGGATTTGTGCACAGGGTGTCAATTGATGTCAGGGTATGGAACTTTTTCTCTGAGCTGGCATTCCATCAACATAGGCAGTAGGCCCTACCAAATTATCAAGTTCCCTTCCACTTTAGGGCGAGTGATGCACATAGACTGGTGGTTACAGCGTGCAGCTCTCTTAATCCCTGTGCTAAGGTTGAAGCAGCCCTCACTTCGTCTGCACTTCCATTCCCCTTTTTCCAACCTCAATGCTTGAAAAGCTTCACTGGCAGTGTTAACCCTAACCCCCCTCAATCCTCCAAAATCCTTTGGGCGGTTTTGGAGGATTTAGGGTGAATGGCAAAAGTGGACAGCCGATTGCGAAGAATGCCATTAGTGAAGGTCATAAGTTAGACCTTGTGTTGTTCTTGCTCAGTCATACATGAATTCAACCCAATATTTGTTCTGAATCAACCACACTGCTCAAAGAATGCCCTTCGCACTGCCTCACCATAATGAGAGGAATTGCCGGAGGAGTTTGAAGGATTGAGACTGTAGCACACCCCCAAATAACATTTTCAAGAAATCTTGGAGGATTTTGGAGGATTGAGGCTGAATACAATTTGGTCATGTAGAAAATTGGATGATTTGGGAGGATTGAGGATGGTTCCTAGTAAAAAAGCCAAGGGGTTAGGGTTTTTAATCTTTGGAAAGAGTTCCATATACATGGACAACACTAAGTTTCCCTTAAAATGTTATAATAACAGTCAGAAAGTGATAACATGTCCTAAAAAGTGGAATTTAGCTAAGAAAATGCTGAAGAATTTACTTAGAAAGCACTTCAGACAAGTCTTTTAGGTTTGTGTACAGGGGCATCAAGTGTTGTCCTTATAAATTTATATGGAACTTTCCTCATCTTTAGTGTTTTTAAATCAAATCAAATTTAATTTTCAGAGTTCCTCACCTTTTTGTTATTCATGGCTTGGAAGGATTTTAAGAAAAAAACACACAAAATTGTTGGGCCGTCTACATGCAGGTCTGAATTCCATTTTACAAATAAAAATTTATAATGACATTATAACTGGGGAACCAGCATTATATGTAAATCTATGTACATGTCCTGTAAAATTTTTCTGTCCCCCAATATACTCACTGCCCATGTTCAGTTGTCATGCCAGAACATTTGTAACATGACTGAGGCTGGGTCATGATTCAGTATCCACTACCTTCACGGAAAGGAAGTGTAGTCGACTTTGCACCAGACCCAGTTATTTGTGCTAATGTTGTGTGTATACGTACATTTATATTTCAGGCAAAGTACTAAACATGCGTATTCAGGTGTTTTTTGTAGGGGGGGGAGCATGGAGAGGTTTACCATGACAAATTTTCACCTAGTTCCATGCTAATGTTGTCATTGTGACATCATAATTGACAAGATGAACCGCTGTTATAGACTTTATTTCCCTTTACAAATATTTTTTAATTTTTTAGATGTTTTCATTCATGGCAACTTAGTGAAATTGATGACAACATTAAGATGGCACAACGCAGAAGACGAAACTCCTCGGATGATGTGCTCATCATAAGTGATGGTAAGTTATATAGTTTGTTTATGATTATCTATGAGCAATTTTCTTATATGTTTCACTGATGTGCATAGTCCGTACCTATTGCTGTGCTCTACATGTAGTTGGTGTCACTTTTCATGTATCACTGACTGATACTGCCTAAACCTGTCATGCTGCCCTCTGTTGGTGAAACTTAATAGACAGCCTGTTGAACATTTCAGTACATGTAGTGTTTATGATATATATAGTGCATGTTTTAAAAAACAAAAAGAGTAAATTTTATTCTTCAGAAAAAGGGTCAGATTAGCACTAACAAAGAAAGCCTTATTATATAAATATTGAGTAACACAGTATTGAGTATTGCAGTATTGCCTTGTGTAATGGGTGTGTTTGTGACGTTGAAGTGGAGCACAGCCTGTAACAAGACATTGTGTCTGTCAAAATTTGCTGTTTTGGTTGATTATTTTTTAGACACCTTCAGACCCAGTAATATATGTTCGACCCTAACTTAGCAAACTAAATTGGAATATTACTCCTTATGTCAAATAGCAGCAAGTGGCACTCTCCTGGACAACCTAAATAGTACAAAAACAAGCCATTAGATTGTTGGAGGATTCAGAGTAGTAAGGGTCAAACCTGATTCAAACACTGAACATTGTTTGCATTGTTTATTGTGAGTTACTGGTATAACATTTTTAAAATGCCGCTCCGTGTACTAAATTAATCATTAAATCTTGGCTTGCAATATGATCATGAGATGTTTTGTTTTAATGCAGACCCGTCACCAACATTTGTTGATCTGACTCAAGAATCTCCAGCTGGTGCTAGCTCTAGCAACACAAATCAAACAAGTCAAGCTGCTCATTTCTTTTCATCATCTAATTATGAGACTGTTGACCTCACCTGTGGAGATACCTCACCAGTTATGCTAGATCCAGGTGGGTTTACACATAGATAGGTTCATGGAAAGGTATGACACTGAGGCTACATTGGATGATTTCAGTGCTATTCCATCATATATCATACCCTGGAGACCATACCTCAAGGAATATTACAGTCAACAATGCTGCTATGTTTAGGGGTACATGTAAGGCACCCAGGCTAAACTTAATCATTTCCATGCTGCCTGATGTTTAATCGTCCTCATGAAACCAAAATATTCTTGAAGGTCTTACAATGATGTTGGATATCTTAATGTGGAATACCCTAGGGAAACAGTTGTACATTTACGGACAAATGTATGCTTTCGTTCCCAACTAGTCCCATACTATTCGTCTAGACTCAATACTTTCACAAAATTCCTTGTGAACCCTGGCAGTGATAAACTCTGACATGAATAGAGAGCATTGGATGAGTCCCATGCTACCTGAACTTTAACCATATCCTGGTATGCCATACCATCCCTCAGGACATACTTATGTGTATATTTTGTATATTAAGCAACGATATCTGGTAAGATAGATGATTTCCAGGCTACCTGAATATAAACCACATTTTGGTACAGTATTACACCTTTGGGAACACAGTATGCTCAGGATCTTGCGTGTACTTTGAAAGTTCCATTGTCACAACATTGTATGAATGTTAATTCTACAGTCATTTTGAAGGTAGTAATGTTGTGTACTTTTATCCTTTAAGTGATTTTTTTTTACTGTTGCTACAGTAGTGTATGGTTTTTTTGAGTGTAAAGTCACACATGATATCTTGCTCTTTTTCCATGAGCTCTGAGGCTCCTCAGAATAAACTCCTCTCATTTAATTCACTGCCAACCAATGGAGAGTTTAACCAAAGTAATGTATCTTTATAATCCATGTCATCAATCATCAATTCTCCAATCGTAGCTCATGTGGAACAATCTCTGATTAAAACATTCCTGGAATGTTTCCATTAGAAATTCCTTCCAATCTTTGCTGAAGCCTGATCAGCCCGGGGAGGAGGTACTTTTTTAGATGTCACTTTCCAGGCAGCTGTTACCCAAGCTGATGAGTGTTTTTCTAGCTTCCAAAATGTGTAATTTTGTTAGGAGGGGCTGTTCATTTCAGGCCATTGCTTTCTTAAAGTGGGAAATAAATTCCTGGTGATCACTACTTTTCAGTTCATGTCAGTATTAGTCGATAGTCTTTCATTCAAAGTTTGAACTAGCCTCTGTACAGCCTGAATTAGTTAACCATTAAAGTGCTAATCTAGTGTCATTTCCTTTTTGTTGTACATGTATTTTATAATTATAAATAGCCATTGCACTAAATATTAAATGCAATTGATTTTATTTGGATAATGAATTTAAAATGGTACCTGTTGTCTGGAGCCATTACCTTCATTACATGTTGCAAGAAAAAAGATTAAGTTCAGTATTTTTTGCAAAGATTTTCTTGGGAAATAAGAAGCCAAAACTGGTCTGAAAAGTCACCTGAGAGTTAGGATTTATGTCACAGATCACCAAAGCAAAAAACTTGTGGAAAGCATTGCTGTCTTTGTGATTATAGCTGAGACATGTGGCTTTCAAATTCTGTGTCTGTATTTGCCAGTAATTGTACCTCCAAGTTCAAGAAGAAGAAGAAGTCGCCGTTTGCAGTCAGCAGCACGGCGTCATAGCCCCTATTCTACCAACAATGATATCACCATAGAGAGTGATGAGGAAAATGATGTGCAGGTTTTGTCTCCTGTCGATGTCAATAATGCCTTACCATGGTAGGTTTCATGTTGTGGATGCCCTGTTTTCATACATTCAGAATTCGGCATTGAGATTTCAAAATAATTTGCTATTGATTCATATTCTTTGCTTGCACTTGTTAGGTGTCTATTTTCACCCCTGATATAATGACCTTGAGAGATATAAACTTTTCTTTCAATTTACAAGCATATGAAGTGTTCTTTGATACGTGTGATGGATGAAAACGAGAAGTAAAATTCTTTCAAATGTTTCAGTTTGTGTTTCTGATGACTTAGCATCTGTTATATCTCCAGTTCAGTCCCTTTATCATGATCATTTCACATAATATTTTGGGCCGAGGGGATTGTACTGTCAGTTCACGACCTGTACATTTTAGCGAGTAGACTTGCTCTGCCATGATAACAGGTGACATTTATGTGGTGTGGAATCATCAATTTACTTGTCAATTGAAATCGGTCTAGGTGGTCTAGTGGGAGATAGGTGGTTATAAATACAATCTGTCTAAGCTGCCCAAGAATCTCAGGTATGAACATGTTCTGACATTGAATGGATGTGTGTTGAAAATGGAATGCCACTGAAAACAATTTTTAAATATGAGAACAATGAAAATTTGTTGCATATTTTCATCATTGGCTTTCAATTCTACTCTACAATTCTAATTGTATTTAATTTTGCATATATTTGATGTACATGTACATATAACATCTTCCAATGTAAAAATGTCACCACTAGAAACACAATTTACTAGTACTAAGTGCGTTCTTTGTAACATTTGATTTTGATTCCTGTCCATGATCAATAAATGAACAAGATTTATTCAACAGGTTAACATCTTTTATTTCTTATTATCTCCCTTTGCATCCAAAAGTGACTTTACTTCCTCATCTTGCTGTCTTTTTTACCCACCCCTAGGCCTGAATTGTCAAGTGAGGTTGCCACTCCGCCTGATATGATTGGTACTCCAGGTAGGAAGCAAGTTAAATGTCCTGTGTGCATGGACAATGAAACACAGGTGAGTAGAGTATTTGTCTCTTAGGTAGCTGTTTGTGTCCCAGCAAGTTTAGTTGAGATTAGCACCAGTGTTTATACAGTGGATAAGATAGGATGGACATGAATAAATGTTACAAGAAAACTGGGGCAATATAAAAGAGTCCTGTCATCACACTGATTTTTTCTTGAAAGTAAATGCAGGTAAAAATGGATCATTTATTAGATTTATTCTCATTCAGTAGCCAGAGATTTATGATAAAAATAACCAATTTCAGGAGAAATGTCATTTTTAAAACATTCAATTGAGACTGATGCATAGTAGACAGGAATTACTATGCTGTTAAAGTTTAATCTGTCTTAATCTGCCTCAGTGATTTGGATGAGAATCGGAAATTATTTTCTCTTTGTGCATTTGATGTAAGTTGTCATTTAAAGTTCACTTACCACAAACTGAATTATTACCTGGATAGATGAGATGATGTATCACACGGTTAACACCAAGCTGTTAAATCTTCCTATGCGGTATGGCTAATTAATATAATAGGCCGCCCTAACTTGATCCAACCATGACTGGTATGAACCAGTTGCAACTGGTATAAACCAGATGCATCCACTCATGCTGTTCTCATCAATACACCTGCTTGATGTGGTGAGATATCCTCCTCTCTTGCCCATCAGGGAGAATGCCTGTGTGTCACTAACACCAGCTGTGTTAAACCATATGGTTAAACCATTTAGCCTGTCTTTCCAGTTGGTGTTTGCAATTATCAACACTGTCATTTAGCTCCTTGGGTTTTGGGAGGTGACATAATCTTGTCTTGGTGTATAAGGTTACTTGGGAACCTAGATTTATAATTGTTTTGTCTTTGTCAAATTTCATACAAGTAAGAAACAGCTCTTCAGCGTCAAGTGTACAGTCCTGATAGAACTGAAATCTTTATCACTGGTTAGAGAGTCTGTTCATTAATAATTCAGACAACAGGTGCACAGGTTTAGAATTCTTGGTTGATTTCAAAATTGTTTGTCACATGTTGCCATATTTTCTTGTTACAGATTCGTGCCAATGGTCTTCAACTTAACTCAACCATCTGTGGACATATTTTTTGTAATAGATGTATCAGGCGTGCAGTACAAAGCCAACACCGGTGCCCAACATGTCGAACAAAACTCACAATGCGACAGATTCATCCAATATTTCTATGACAGCAAATCAAAATGATGCATTTAGTTTCTATTGATTTAAAGAGCACCCTTTTTTCTGACCAGAAGGTGGCAGATGAAGATTAGTAACAAAACCAAGATTTAGCTGTGTGTGTCATGTATTTGTAGTTTAACTTGTAGGTGTAAATTATAACTTAAATAAAAAAAATACATATAAGTTCTGTCAGTTGTTTGTCATTTATTCCCGTGGGTTTTGATTATCTGTCCAAACATTGGTCTCAAATGAAGATAGTGTAGTTTTTGTTTACATGTATATGTTTGAAATCAGAAGTGTTTGTAATAGTGGCCAGGATGTTTACATCCATCACAAACCTCACTGTTATTGTTAATGAATTATGTTGAATTAAACACATTTTATACTATCTACAAAGAGTAAATTTTCAAAAATATGTCAAAAGGCTGACAACTGATGATTTCTTTATTGATGTCTATGTCTAACGGAAGTTATTGTGGGGGATTTTTTAATCTTCAGTTGATTGTGCCTGTCAAAATTTTTCATTATAAATGTCTCATCTGAACTCCATTATTGTTTGTTTTATTTTGTTCTGTTTTGGGCAAGAATGCTTCCTCCACTTAAACCTAACACTGTTCTGTAACAGAATGAAACACATTTTTGTGTCTAAATACAACCCAACATTTTGTGTATAACTATGAAAACAAATTTTAGTTACTTTCCACATTATTTGTACAATATTAAAATAAAATTCACCCCTTGCTAGGAAGCAAATTGAATTTTTAGAATTTTGTATTTGAATACCTTCTGTCCCTTGTTGGATAGACTTTTTTTCAGGCTAAGTATCGTACCAGATGTAGGAAAGTGTACCGTGATAGAGTTCCAGGGAAGCCATTTCCGACGAACATTTTTTAATGTGTAACCTATGCAAGGTGCACTTTTCTTGACAACATCTGTTTTCTGAAAACAACATTTGTCTGGCAGACTGGACTCCTATTTGTATTAGACATGTCGTCCTTTTTTCCCAGAGCAGAGTGAATTCTTACACCAACTGACTTGTACAACCCCCAAATGACTTGTCCTGTGTTTATTCATTCTTTCTCATCAGTGATTACATTTTACAAGATGATTAATGGGCAGCTGTATGAAGGAAGATTAATGTTTGCTTTTTAAGATTTATAACTATATTTTTGTTTTTCATGCACAGTTTTCCCTCACCTTGGGAAAGCTGCTCAAGTTTTACTCAAACATCTAAAGTACCCCCAGAAGTGTGTGTGTTTACAAATGTTGCTTGAAGTTATGATGTCAGGATTTTTGTGAGATGTAGTTTGAAGCCATAAGGTATACTTGCAATGCATTTATTGCATACACGTTTCGAATGGGCTTTATCCATGCAAGTCTTTTGCAAGAAATAATTACTACAAATAGTTATCGTTCTGTGGAATATAGGGATAAGGTTTAAAAATACAACTTTTTTCAGTTCAATCTTTAAAGTAAGTTTTTGACTGAAAAGTGAAATCAGTCATTCACCAAATAAATGTAAATTTGTATTTGACTGAGTTAAATGTTAAATATTTATGGCAAATATAAAACTACGTCTTACTTAATTTACCAAAACCTCAAAGGAAACATAGTTGATTTCTGTTTCCTTTTGTTTAACCATGAATTTCATTTGCACAGTGTAAAATGTAATTTTTTTTTACCATTTAATTGTGTTTCATGAGCATATTTTTGAAGTTAATTTCTTCTGAACTGACAAATCAGTAAGTTCCTCAAGAACTATTATTTTTAAAATCCTGAAAGGATTTCCCGGAGTTCGTCTAGAAAGAAAATTAATAATTAATTTTTACCAAGTCTTCTAATTTTCATTCTTTACCATTTGTTCAGTATCCTCCACCTCTTCCATTACATGTACTTTGAAGACGAAAACTGGCTGTTAAAGGTTTTCTCGCCATACATAGATATATCACACCCTGTCTTCAGGATCTACTGACCTAGTTCCTGTAATCCCGATGGTTTCAATGTCTGTCTTGGTAATGTGAAGGATTACAGCAGGCCGCTGTACGATAGAGAAGATCACCAACTTCTTATCTGAGATCTGCACAGCATTTCTTATTATGCGGCATCTAACTCCCTTGAGCGAGGTCTGTGCTGTTAATGTTTCACACGAACAACAGTTTGCATTATATGAAATAAGTGAACAGTTTCCTCAAATATACCCACATTTAGGTTAATTGAAGCATCGACATTGTTGGCACTGTCGCAAATGTCTGTCACTCATACTTTGTTTTTATTTATACCACTAAAATTGTTAGACTCGATTTCACCGTGTCATCGCATCATGAAATAATACCTGAAATCGATGCGGATGTTTTCGGCGTCAGAGAGGTTCGACTTCGCAAAGGTATGACTGCGGAATGTCCCCACATCCGTGGACGCTACTGTACAGCTATTTTAGGTCATTGATTTACTGTACAAAGTAACCTGAGATTTTCCAATGAGGACTACTTCCTTGCATAAAATAGACACAAAAAGGCGTTTATTAGGCACAGAAATTGTAATAATTTTTGTTTGCTCATTGGATCGGTCGACATTTTAAATTATTTGGTTCCTTTAACTCTTGATGGCGTGTTCAGATGCATCGTCTGTTATTCAGGACAGAAATGATATGATTCTCTGCTCAGTGCTTGAAGACGCAATATTCATCCTAAAAATAGTCCAGTTTGAATTGATTTGGTTAGGGGCAGGGTTACAGTCCCTCGGGCAATTTGAACATTTTCTTCTGTTAATCCACCTCCCCCTCCCCATCGTACAGTCATACTCTGATAGTTGGGAACCTTTCATGGTGATTCTTCTGGACCAGAAATGGGATGATACTGAAACTCAATCTGAAGCACGCAGGAGGCACAACTGGCAGATGTGTTGAAGACAATACCCGTGGGATCGATGAGCGTCCTGAAACTTGTCTTTGGCATCTTAGACAAACTGCCCGGACCCGTGCAGTGTAGTTGTGAACGATAAAGATGTTTTACATATATGTTGGTCTTTGCGCAATCAGTCCATCTCATTGCACGATTTGTCGATAATCAACCAAATGCTATTTCTTTCTAATTCGTGGTTGTGAAAGGGGAAAAAAAGTAGTAGGGGGCACCCGGATTTGAACCGGAGACCTCTCGATCTGCAGTCGAATGCTCTACCACTGAGCTATACCCCCTTTCCACAAATGCATATTGAAAAATTGCATTTTAAATAACACCCCGAAAGTTTATAACTAATTCTTATCCATTCACTTTACAGTTCTGCAATGCACAACTGACCTTGAAATTGACGTTCTAGCTGACAGTAGCAATAGAACTTTAAATGAGGACAAAGGCACGCTATTTTGTGGCTTTTGTAGAATATTTTTGCGCTCGGATAAATTATGCGATTATGCTCAGTGCTAAATATGGAGTTTAATGATTTTCTGTCAGTTTGACACATGTAGGCGGGCTCTGTATCTTCATGAGCGAACTTTGTAAACAACAAATCACAAAGCTTCAGCATATGTAGCAGCTGTTACCTGCAGCTACATGTAGGTCTGAGTGTGTTGCAGAAAACTTTATAGCTTCATCCTATTTGCAGAAATGAAGTACATGTATATTATTCCTTTGTATAATGCACAACAAGCTGTAAACTCATAGGCCTTGTACACTTTTGTGTCTTGTTGTTGGATTAAATTTTGCAAAGTTACAGAAGGGGGCCTGTTTACAAGTAGAGGGGAAGCCAAAATCGTGTTGACTAGGCTGTTCTTTATGGAAAATATATTAAATGGTATTTTCGTCGACGGGATGCACAATCAATTGTCTGTATTTATCTTCAGATGCCGTTGACAACAAAGACCAAAGAGTCAACGACCCCTTCAAACCAACACGTGTAGATACCTCTCACCATTATGTGTCTTTCACATCCTCTGAAAGTCCTGACATCACTGCGACGGAGCGCGAGCCGACTGACTCTTGGACAAACATCCTCAACATCGGCTGACATTCCAACCTACACGCCCTGGTGTGAGGTATGCCCTTCACCCACACAGCATTGAAATGAAGATATTAGTGAAAAGGTTACTCTCCAGTTTTTTTCAGCTTCATTCTTCCAAGAGAACTTGATCGCATTACAGCCTGACCTTCTTTGGCTTTATGAATGGTCAAGGCAATCTCTTTGGTGGCCTGTCTCGCGCTTTGTGTAAGTTATAATAACGATGGAGTTGACCAACATTGAGCATGATGTCATGTTCGAATTCAATCCCATTTGACCCATTATCCGTTTATGGCGCGACGTTAACGGCCTTGGTAAGTTTTCTCGTGAATCACGGGCTCATTCACTAGAACTTTCAGCAGTATGAAAAAAGCCATCGCTTTGAATTGGTTGGCAAGATCTTGTTTTCATTCCCATTGCACTTTTGCATTAATTGATCGCACCAGTCACAATGAAGCTGCTCAGACAATTTCCTGAACAAAATGGCTCTGTCCGTACAAAACGACAGCAATATATGACATTAATATCTTCATTCTGATTGATTAAAAGAGCCTCATCTTTTTGTGGGGAGGGGCATGGCCCCCGTTGGACCCCCCGGTGTACCCTTGGCTTTATGATTATTACAAGGGTTTAAATTTAAACCTATTGCTAAGTGCATCTGCATTGGTGGTCGGTTGAAACATAAAAAAATATTTCTCTATAACACCTAGAGATCAAAACTAATTTTTCATCTTGACAACCTATGAATTTGTTTTTGAGCCCTAGCAATGAGCCAGCATCTACTCTCTTAGACTGGGCCGGTATTTTTCTTGGGGCCCGGTTCGCTCCCATTTCTCACCCTAGAATGCTGCCAATTTGCTTCCCGGGACCTCGATGCAGATATCACCGGTTAAGCGGGCACAGAGCCAACATTCCTGCCGTCTACTGCTAATTAGATTCGGGGCCTTGTCAAATGGCAAATGCGGTCGCCAACGCCAGCCCGGGCATCTCGGTAGACATTCGCAGGTGAAAATGTCAGGATTTGTAAAAATAAACCCTCAGATCTGCGCGCCAGGACTGGACGTTGAGAAGAAACAGAAATTCTCAGTCGATGAAACCATTGATTGATAGAAAAGGCATTGTGGTTATGAAAATGTGACATCTTTTAGGACTTTATCCCGCTTGAAAGTTTCTTTTACTTCATGGTAGTGGGCAAGCTCACTTGGGTTGAAAAAGATTTTGGGGTGGTGTGTACAAGAAAGACTATTGTAAGAAACTGCAACACTGCGATAAGTAAGAAAACGAACGTATAATTGAATAAATAACGACAAATGACGATGAACTCTCAAGCCAGAAGTGATCATTGGATCAAGCGGCCAAAGGGTCAAAGATACCTCGGGCGGGATGCATATTCTTCACCTGGTATCTGTCATCTTTTTGTATGATTCTGCCTTATTCGAATATTTATCTAACTCTATTTGATGAAGTGTATGTATGTAGGATTTTTGTGGTATTGGTATTAATTTGTCCATGGATAACATCCATTTTTTTTTCAAATATCTAAAATTTCAGTGTACGTATATGTACACACACACCTCGTTTGAATGTAAAAACATGAAACGATATCAATGATTCTGTTGATATCCAAGTCCAAGGAGTACTGAACTCTGATCCAAGAAGGAATAGATAGGTATGCCTACTAATGATGCAGAATAATCCTTCAGGAGAACTGATAACCAGGATAGTTGGCAAAACCTCAGCCGAGAAGTTGTTGTATGATTCATTTTTGCTATGAATGCCATTGCGGGATCAAGTGCTGCCATATTTGGTCATTGCATCCAGGAGTTTCATTACATGACAACCCTGCTCAGAAGCGGACGTCTGTTTGCAAAGGTAATGAGAAGTTGAAAGTACAGAAAGCTTGTAAGCTAACTTCACTTGTCTGAGGTATGTTAGTTATTTGACGATGAATTAAGACGAAGTTATTTCCCATTCAGAGACGCGCTTTTCTGACTGTTTTCCATGCAACACTGTACTACGACAAGAAAAAGGATATACTTGGAATGTTTATTGACGTATTCTTATGGTTCTGGAAGTTCTTACAGCTAACAGATGCACATTGTCTATGACAGAGTGACAAACATTCATAAAATATCCTAACGATTATTATAACCAATTCCCATCAGTGGATGCAGCTAACCAATGATCTCTTGGACTTCAGTAGAAAATTCCGTGAATAATTCCCGCGAATTCTCTGAATGTCACCGCACGATAATAAATGATATTTACAAATACTGCATGAGCCAAGTCCTTCCTGAAAAAGTGCTTCCTAAAAAGCTGAAATGAAGGTGTTCGTCATATTTTAAGCATGTGACAAACTGTAAGCAATCGGTATACCGATCACATCCGGCTAATGGTTCCAACGACATCTGAAAATGGTCTTCATCAGGTCTGGAAAATCGTTCCTCCACTGGCAGTTAATGATATCAGCTTGTTTATTGCGATCGTTGCACACTTCACTTTCGTACGAAAGCCCACTAATGCCATACATTTTCAAAAAGTGCAGCATGCATTTTTAAAAATTGAGGAATATCTTTTCAAATTCGTTTTCATAGGATGTGTATTTAAAGTTAGTTTTTACAAAATATATTTTTTTCCAAGCCCGTTTTTAGGAGATTTGTTTTTGTGAAATCCATTTTACTGAGATCGCGAAGCAGACTATGCATTGTCTACACGACCTACCGACCGGCCTGGCGCTCATAACTAATGCCTTCAATTTCTCCAACACATCTCGTAAATTTCACTCTTTCAGTAAACAAACCAGGAAATACACTCTTTTCTTTTCCAAAAATATAGCTCATAAAACTAACTTGAAAAACACATCTCATAAAAATTTTTCCGCAAAAAATAAAAACAATATTTCTAAAAATAGATCTTATAAAAATGAACTTGACAAATACGTGAAAAAACAAACTTCAACAAATATACTTCCTCTTTTTGAAAATGTATACTTCATGGCACTCGTGGGCTTTCGTACTTTCACATGGTCAACGAAAGATGATAAATTACCTTCCAATATGTTAGGCTTTCATTTCAAGGCAATTCTCTGCCTTGGGAAAGGTTGATCACGATTATCAGGTGACCTTGCCTCTACATGGGGGGGGCTATGGCATAGTTCCTATTGTTGACATCAGACGTCAAAATTGGTATGTTGCAATGAGATGCTTGTACACTCGTTATTATTCTTGAAAGCTGAACATTAAATATTCGCAAAATCTGATCAACTGAAAAAAGCAAACAAGTTTTCCGATTATGAGCAGACCTGCATATCAAAGTCGTACTTAAAGAGCCACAAATTGTCACTGAATTGCCCAACACCTCATGTAGAACTACTACTAAGTATATTCCCATTATTTTGACTTCTTGTAGGTTTTAGACTCAATGTTGAAGAACCTAAACCAAGCAGGATTCTTGAACCTGACCTTATCACAGTATGTTTGCGGTAACTTTGTGAATACACCTGACCTCTTCACGTCGATTTTCTCAATGAAGTGAATGATAGACAGAGACAGAACACACCCTATCTCCTGATCTGCAAAAACAAGTGTTACATCTACCTATGTACAAGAAGCAGAAAAACTGCATACCACGCAGGCATGGCTTGCGCGTTTCAAACTTGCACACCTTGGTAGTCCCACTGCATGACGTCGTGCGAATTCATCCTGATATTACGTCACAGGATGTGACATCATATTCAAGCCATTTCCAGTATGTCTGACATCCTCATTAAAATAATTACCTGCCCTATTTAGGAAATTGTGATGATGTGATCCATTATAATGCTTCCAGATGTATTATTCTGTGTCTCCTAGTTGAATAGACTGTGAAGGAGATTAATTATTATGACCAACTAAAACATGAAAAACAGAAACTTCGGAAAGAAAAATTTATAAATAGTTATATCGTTAATTCTATAGTTCTCTTTGAACTTTAACACTTTATTTATTTATTTATTTTCTTCAAGTGTATTTCCTTTTGCTCTTGTACATAGAAGGTTGTGTTTATAAATGACAGAAGATGAAATGTTGTTGCCGGTTGAGCTAGGATACACATGACCAAACTCAGGCAAGAATGTCTGACATTGAATCCCCATTGCCTACAGCTTGTGCGTCATTCATGTGAATTCCCTGCCTAACATTCCGATAATAATGGTATGAATGCTTCATAAAGTACCACTTAAACAAACAATGTGGAGTTAGCACTCCAGGGAATTTAGTCAGAGACACGTAAAGAGTCAATTACGTCAAGAGGAATTTAAGCTAATCGACCTATAAAAGTTCCACTTCTCTGAACGCTAAAGCCGTGGTATACAATAAGTTCGAGTATGCTAACCCTCAACCCAGTTTTTGGTTAAAACAAACACCAAAAAATAAAACAAAATAAAACAAAATAAGCCCCCAAACAAAACGATAACAACTCCGAAACTTGGCCATTGACAGCAATTAACCTCCCGTTAATAAGCAACTTTTGCCAATAAAACAGATGGTTTTAATTTACAAGAATTGAAATTTGTATAAAAACGTTAATTATTAATGTTGACGTTGACTAAAAAAGTTTGAATTAAAAAAGTCTTTTGGCTTTGAACACAAAATTCAAGCTTTAAGTATTTCGAGTTTAAATTAAAAGAATCACACTTGCTTTAAATGAACAAAGTTGAAAACCCTCGGAGTACACAGACACCAGTTACAATTCCGTCGAAATCAAGACTCAGAATAACTTTTAAATGCACCTTTGATTAAAAGCAACTGTTTGTACATTTTCATCTAAATTACAAGAACTCGATTTACAAATACATTATACGTTTCGCATGCAGAAAGCGTTAACTCCATCAAGCAGCCTTTATCCTTTTTGCTATATATAAATTAACGATATTTACGCTCATTTTCAATTTAACATTATTCACATCAACAGAAACAGGAATTTATGGCGATTTCAAGTATTTCAATATACAGACTGCATAGTGGACAAATTTCCCACGTATTACTCAGCACTACTGACGGCCAGTAACTGCAATTTTTATCTGTTCCTTCTAAAATCACATCCTCTCGAACTTCGAAGTCTCTCTGAGCCGACGTTTAGCGAACGTTGAACACAGCTTAGATGACTTTTTGACATTAGGTGACCATATTACAAAATATCTTACATAGGTATTATCTTAATTTTCAAATAACTTAACAGTTTGTTAGATATAAGCAATTCTTTTAAAAGAGGCAATGTAATTTGGCAATGGCGTTTAAACTAAAAATAAAAACAAATGCACGATCTATGTCAGACGTACCATTAAATTCTGGATTCCTGAAATTTACGATGTTATACTCATTCACTCTAGATGCAAATCACAAGACAGCTCAGCTTCGTTCATTAATTCTGACACAGAGCTGAAGCACTCTAAGACGTCCGTTTTTTTTAAGCAGGTCAACGCCCTCTTGTAACTTGGTCAAATTTATAGTTACGAATCTACTGTCAATCCCATGTTTGAGAGGAAACATGCATCAGATCGCGTTCGTTGTAGGCCTACCATGTGTCCACCTTCATCACACCAACACAACTCCCCCATTGCGAACTTGTATTGGCACTGTATAAGTTTACTATGCAAATAAGCCGTGACACGACTCACATTCTTTCTTCAAGTTCTTGTACATGTAGCACGTCGCATCTCATAATTTACTGGTTATCAAGGGGGTGAATAGAAAGAGGATTTGATTCGGCTTGCAGTATGAAATGTAGGGCAGCATACCATTCCATTCAGGGCTGCAGCGCGATTCAGATATTTTAGTGGAGTGTAATCTTCCCGCGCGCGAATAAAGATTTTGATCACGCAAGATGCGGCATGTCAAGCCGCCGTACAGATAAGACAGTAGTGGTTTAATGCTCCATAATGCTCTTTAATAACACATTACAACATGTTTCTTCGGTATGTTGACGTAACTACTTATGTCAGATGACAAGGCACCAATTTTTCAATCGAGACAACCATGTGTCAATTTTATTAAAATAGTTTTGATTTTACTACTTAAAAGGTATTGGAATTTTGACAATTTCTTCGGCTGCATGATAATCGTAGGTTCAAAGATCAAATCTGGGTCCATGCAAAGTGCTACTGGCCAGCATTATAAAGGAGTACGAAGTAAATGGGTAACTTAAAGTCAATTCTATGGTTCTTAGCCTAGAATAATTACAGCTAGGTACCATGCAGTACGTGCTAGTAGTCTGTGACAACCTCTTTGAAGTCAGCTGTTTTGAAACTTGCATTATATCTTTTCCCAACCTAAAACTACATCCATGCTTACTTTGTTGTCATGCCCAGGATATGGTTGCCAATATTCGCCACATCTGGTCATTTTCTGTGGGAATCTACATCACTGGTATTCATTTCTTCCACAAAATAGGCGCGTTTCCCCCCTCCGGTAGCATTCCGGTTTCCATCCATCATCATAATTGGTATCTGTCTTTCTCTGGTATCGGTGAGGGGTACTCGGGGTATCTCCACGGTCAGAATCTTCTTCTCTGATAAGTAACACTTGACACGACTGATATCCACATCTTCAGGCAGCGTATATTGGCGGTAATACTCTCGCTGGACATACCCTGTTGCTGTGTTACCTTCTCTTTGCTCTGCATGCACTGTCAACTTGTTATCTTTGACCTTAACTTCTACGTCTTCAGGACGATACTCACTAACATCCAGAGTGACCATAAATCGGTGCTCGTCACATTCTACCCGGCTACTCTGACGAGCGGGCTCTGCTTGATTTGAAGGAGGACTGATTATCTTGGTGGTGAAGTTCGGCTGGGATGATGATGATGACTCCGTTGGTGAACTGATGATAGTTGGCTGAGGTGATGTGACATAGTAGCCTTGGTATAGAGTAGGTTTAGTAGGTGCAGAGGGTTGGACATTTACCTCCACGCGCTGGCCAGATGAAGTCCGCATTGTGGCTGATTCTACAGTAGTTTGTTGCGGATTACCGGTAGTGTATACCTGCCGGGTGATCATGGGTTTCGAAGACGCTGGTACAGATGAGACTATGATGGGGTGGGATGCCCCATCACCACCCGTGATACTGTACTCCACTCGCGGGTGAGTGAGTGGGATTTTAATCTCGATATTCATTCCAGCAGTGAATGTTGAGATATCCTAGACTAAAACTTCGGCTTTTAACAATCCACCGGTGTCTTCTGGCCCCTCGCCGTGAGTTTACTAATGTAGCTTTCTATTGGTCTGCAGATTGGGCCTTTTTTTGTCTAAATTAACTAACCAGCGATTTCGTATTAATGATAATGTGAGCGTAGTCTGCTTAGATGTGCTCGTTTGATGCAGCACGCACGTTTCTGCTTCTTATACGTGGGATGCTTTCAAGTCGCATCGGGTAACCCAACACCAGGTTCTTTGGTATGCACTCCTGCCTCCGATCAGCCTTTATTCTAGAAGTCTCTCTTCCTGCAGTCTAGTCCAATACTCCCTAGGTTCCAAGGCCTCCTGCGGATTCTGCCAGTAGAGCAAAAATGCCGCCACGCAATACCCTTTAGACGATGCCTCAAAATATCTCGACTGACAGTGGAAAAGCAGATGGAAGAACGCTTGACTTGTGGCTCATGTGTATCACTCAGTCATGAGTCTCGGCCTTTGGTCAATGGATGTACAGAGAATTCTTGCATGTGGACATAGAATTCTGACGTCACATCCCCCGTGGCCAATGGCATGCCTGCTTTTATCGCCACGTGAGTGTCGCATTTCAGGTCTTTATATGAGCAAGTGGTATCTCGATTGGCCATTTAATAAACATAATTTCTGAATGTCGGGCGATGGCGGTCCTTCTTTGATCTTTCTGCTTTACAAGATTATTTAAAAATTAAACACTATTTCCTCAACGGCGCGACAGTTTATTATGTTATATTGCGCATCATAGTTTTCCTCCAAAAGCTTAGTGCATAACATTTGATTTCTGAATCCTGTTGTGAACAAGCCACTTTGAACGATTGTAACAGTCATGGTATTATACCAAACTGTATACTATAATTGCAGAGCTAATATCTCCCTTTTAAAAATGTTCTTAGGCAGTTCGAGAGCTTAAATAGTTTATACAGGTTAGATATAAGGCTACACAGTGCGCTTCCTGTTGCTATCCATTGATAGATTTGGACATTATATTATACATGTAATCGTCTTGTACTTGGAACACTTGCGGGAAGTGAGCGCAGATCCTGTCACTTCATGTTCTCGTCTTGTTCATGTTCATATATTTCCAGAGTTTTGCATACATACGATCTCAATTTTCAAACAACATATTTGACACGGGGGGGGGGGGGAACCGTGCAGGTACCCACTAAAAAGCAAAGCTTATGATTGTGGGCCCTAAAATCAATTCATGGTTGCTACTAATTAATTACTGTACACAAAAGACGAACATTAGACAGACGAGACACTTATTCTGTATGCCAGTTAACAATAACCTAAGTTTGAAATAAAAAATAAGAATAGGAAAAATAAAAAAGAATAAGAAACCTGGGAGATTTTACATAAGTAGATGAAGGTAATCAATTCCACAGTCAATAATTACCAATACTAACCATTCAATATGATCTTTTTGAAGTTTCGTTTGAAGATTCGTAAATTTTTCGAGGCTTTCAGATTCTTATTCAAAGAGTTCCATAATCTTGGACCTTCGTATCTGATTGTTTGGGTTTTGGGCCAAAGATGTACGCATTAATGGCAGATGAAAAATTGCACTGTCATTCTTTGTACACATTTAGGCAACTTAAAATAGCATCTGGGATGATTCGTGGTTGATTGGATAATGTCAGTGTCACGGCCGAATGTTGCGTGCATGAGAGACAGACTTAGTCAGACTACCATCCGAGTTATTAAAGGGAAGGCACGTCATCAGATCTTTCGAAAATGGACAGAGACATATCAGCGACATTGCTAGGAAAAGGTTTGACATCTAAACTCGCCGTCCAAGAATTGTCCTTGATTATTGTCAAAATACCCATTTTTCTCTTTCCCTAGACAAAAATTGAAGCAACTAAAATTAGTCCTTTATTCATTAATAATTAAAATACCAGTGTTACTTTATATAATCATTTTACGGCACAATTTGAAACGAAACTCGATCCAAACAAACATAACAAACAAGCTATATTTATACTCACAATGAGTTTATTATTCAGGCATTATGGCATATTACTAGAGTCTTCATCATAGATGTCCCCATGCACAGGCCGTGAAATGAAGCAAAAATTAATCCCCTTTCATTCTCAACATTGCGTCGATGTTTACTCACAAACCAAATGCCTTTTCTTGGTGGCGCTCTGTCTGTAATTTGGGACGGTGTGGCTCGCGCGGCTCAGTGCGAATTGGGAAATCCGACTTGACTAAAGCCTATCACAGCGCCTTTGGAGGATGTTTTTTCAAAGGTAGTGAAGTCTGACATTTCAACAGTGGAATCTTCACGAGGCTCGATGCCTAGTCTCCGAGCTCCTCTCAAGAACCCTTTTGGAAAGTGCACGGTGTATCCCAAAAATTGTGCAATAATAATAAATAAATAAATAAAAAAGCTCGCGGCTCAGCTTAGGGCAAGCATTAAGCTCTATGACAGGCCGATTGACGAAAAACCAATATGAATACTACCTAAGTTTGGCTTTAGCCTTATCCATTGTGGTGTTCAGCGGTAAAAATTCCTTTGTACTGCGTCGTAGTCCTGTCACATGGGTGGCATCTCTGGACTGCTCACCGAATTGCTGATCGATTGACTGACTAACAGACCCTGATTGATAACATTTACAACTGTCATTGCTCTGTGCTCTGACGCAGTTTCCATTCGAATTTGCTGAACGCAAAAATAATGTTGACGGCACTGTGGTGCCAGTGCCGTATCCAGCTTTTGGCGTGTGTGGGTGGGTGTGGATGTGGGGGGGGGAACTCATAAGCAAATGAACTATATTGATCATTCAACATGATAATGGGAGAGAAAAGATATGGCCTATTTTTGATGAATAAATATACTGATCAGTTTCTTTCTTACCCATCTATGAAGTATTCCCAGTTAAAGAAAAAAAAACTAACAAAACAACAACAACAAAGCCGTCAGGGGGCAACCCCCCCTGCTTGATATGCCACTGTGTGGTGCACATACTTTTTGACACAATTACGATATTATTTTAGTTCAACTAATATCACTGTGTGATTATTTCACAAAGATTTTTCTCATAGGTCGCTGGCATCATCCCGATTTTTGCATCAATCCAACCGTTCAAGTTTTGTTTGGAAAGTGGCCATAATAATTATGCAAGGGCCCGCTGAGTGCCATATAAGAAAGTTTGGGGTCCATTTTGAACACATAATTATCAACATCGACAACCTTGAACTACTAATCAATTTTATTCAAAATCACCACACGATTTTTCGGTTGGCAGTTAACTCGAACAGTCAAGCTGTTCAATTTATAACAATAACATGCAAGACGTGGACTCCACGATTTATCATCCAGTCGGCGGCGCATTTGTCCAGCTTGAGCTTCGTGCCCCTGCTACTTAATCGGCCGCGCGGCTTGTCAGCCGGTCGGCCATGTGCATGCCACTCAGTGCTGTTGGTTCCTAGTCAAAATCCCATTGTCACCCACTCACAATTAACACGCGAACCAGTGAATACCAGCTGAGGCATCTTGTGAAGCCCGCGTCCGAATCTTGTGTCTACGGCTAGGTCTTCGATGGCTGCAAAATAATGCGTTGATACAAGCTCATGATAGACGTAGCCGTGGCTCTAGAAGCTTGTGTCGGACACGTTGCTTTGCTCTGCGCAGTCGCAAACACACGACGACATCGCAGCAATGGAGTCGTATCCTGAGTATCATTACCACCAGCATACTAACCATCATGATAACCAGGTTTGTCCTATTTGTCTTCGGTTTTTGAATCGTTTATGTGGGATTTCTTAATCTAAATGGATTCTTTGTTTCTTTGCAGGAAACTTGCGGGGATTCGATGCAGCGCACGCTGTAAGTATGCTTTCGTTTCTTCGATCGGTGAACTTGCTCTTAACTACCCAACTCGAACTTTCCTATACAATTACACGTGACGTGTTTACCGGTAGCCGATGTGTGTCACATTTTCCATGTCTTTGGTTCCTTCATGCCTTTTTTGCCTTTCCCCCGAATTTTACTTTGATCGGTTTCCTCGAATTTTTTTTTCAGGTATGTTGGGAATCTCAGCAGAATTGTCACAGAAGAATTCATCGTTGCACTTTTCTCAGAGTTTGGACATTGTACTTGTAAAATGATGAACGAAGTAAGTTAAGGCTACAATTGTAATGAATTTGAACTGTTAAACTTACTAGTGTTATGATTACATCTTGTTGTCCATGTTGTCATTGGTAAAATAACCCTGTCCATGCTATTATCAAGTGTGAATGTTACCAACTATCTTTTTGCTTGATTGGTGAGATTACGGTGTTTAATAGTAGCTCTAGTCTAGACACTGCCTAATGAATTCGAAAAAGTTGCAGTCAAAAAATTTGAGCTGCAGTATGATATAATAGGCATGAAGTCCAGGGTCTCACTCCTTTCGGTATATCTGTTGCCCAGATTTATCCTTGTGCCCCCCGTATCTTTAGTGATCCAAATAAAATTCATCGACCACTATGTACTGTACACTATACTTGTACCATGTTGTGACGTTGTATTGAACCAGAAAGTGTAGATTCACACACTGGTTCTTGCACGAATGCCTTTTACACACTGTGTGTGTGACGTAGTCACTTCAGCATTCTATAGCAGTTTAATTAATCATGAAGCCTAGGATTAGCTAAGACTTGAATATGAATAGATGTATTGAAAAAAGGAGTTGCTTGTGATCTACCGGTAAATATCTGAACAAATACACAAACGTGACAGAGTGTCTCCTACTTCAGCTCACCATACAAATTTCTGTGCTTTGAAAATTTTGATTAAAAGCAGTGTGCCTGTTTTTTGTTGGAATTAATACATACAGCATCAAGTGCCTACCAGTCTCCTCCATCTTAATGCTAAAAAGAAAACCACTCAAAGAATAATCTGTTCTTAATTCAGCCAACAGCAATTTGCTCAAGTGACTTTTGTCCTTGTGCATATCTCAAAACTTTTACCTCAAACATTTATTTTGCTAAGGTTAGTATTCATACAGGTGTATATTATTTGAAAAAAAGGTTTGTTGAGCTTGTTTGATATGCAGGGCCATCAGAGTGGTGCCAGTTGCATTATTAGCAGGCTTAATCAATTTTAAAATGCCACCCACATACAGAGGTGAAACTAGCGTTGGAGTTTTAATTGAACAATATTTGTTTTGGGGTTGGGAAATACCCAGAGTTTATGTTGCATAGTGTACCTATGCCCTAGTGTTTGTCAGTGACTGTTAAACGTTGGTTATGTTCTGTGTTTTTTCCCAGTCCAGTGCATTAATGTCCTTTATCACATTACAGTTCTTAGTAATTGATTTGAGTTGATGAGTGAGAGTGTTAATTTTTTTTTTCAATTTAAAAAAGTCATCCCAAAGTCATTACTCTCATTTGATGTTGGTAATTCTAGTGCATGTTTATCTTTCCCATATGCTCACAAGATGTTAAGAAAATTGGTTGACCTTTGACCTTTAGCTGTGCGATGCTTATACATGTGTAATTCGTATGGTCAACAGGTACCTCATATTCGTCATTTGTCATCCCTTTGCATCTTCTTATCAATAAGGTCCGACATGTCTTGTTTTTTCTTTCTCTCACCAGTTGAGGCGCAACGAAGGGGAAGGGGAGGTAACTGTTTTTCTTTTGTTGGTTAAAAGAGCACAATTCACAAATCACTACGATCTTGATCAATTCACAATGTTACAACCAATGGCTCAAGGGCCTGAAAATTCAGCATTGTGGCTCGTGATAGGTCAGTGAAATCTCCCACCATTATTCTTGAAAATCTGATTTAACATAAAAAAGAAATGAAAAAAATTCTCTGCAAATCTTTTAAGTTAGTTCTGAAGCAGTAGAAAATTTTTCATTGAATCTTACTCTTCCTGATGAATGGGTACCCGCCTCATTGGGATGTGTTTGCTCTGAAATTTTATCAAACTTATTTCATAAGCAGTCCGTGACTGTTACCACAGTCAAAATTGGTCAGTAGTTGAAGTGATGTATGCTTTTGCCTGGCAGAGGGCTAATCTGTAAGTGGGAGTACATGTATATTTCATTTATTCTTTTGGCAAGCAAATTTTTTTCTGCCATACAACCGAAGTCAGATCATGTTAAGTTGGAGGCAATTCACTGACATTCACCACTCATATGACATACAGGTTTCTACCATTAAAAAGAGATTATGGGGTGCTCAGTCTTGGTTTTTATGATTAAAAAATTGGGGGGGGGATATATTCACAAGCAACAATCTGCCGCACAATACTAAGGAAGTGATGTCATGTTGGTTGTACACATGTACATCAGCATTACATTTGTTTGTTTTTATTATGGAGACCGTCATGCACATTGCAGACATGTAGATGTTGGTTGTTAATTACTACACCAGCACCGTGTTGGAGACAGGTGTACCTCTATATCTCGAACTGTATTGGTAGTTCCTGGCCTCTCTAGATTTTAGTTGTTGTGTTCACCCTTTGAATTAGGCTGTGAGTCTATTCTTCATGTACTTGTACATGTGCAGATTCATCTTCTAAATAGAAGTATCACAGGCAGTTGAAGTGAGAATTATTTCCCTCTCCGACAGAAAATAAAACAAACCTGTCAACTATTCTAAGGAAATTAGAAGTAACAAAAGTTTAATTTAGAGGAAAGTCCAAAAGCCTTTTGCTTTTTCTTCTTAATTGGGTTGTAACAAGTCAAGTAACAAGCGTGCTCATCCATAGATAGGGTTTTGCACATGGACTTTGACCTTAACCACTTCCTGCCGGGGAGCCTGGTTTCGGGCACCATGTGTTTATACGTATAGCCGGGGTGCCCGGTTTTGGACAAAAGAGCTGGTCTGTGTAACAAAAGACTGTACTCAGAACAAAGGACCTGCTGCTAGGGATTGCCATCATTTTTCGTCTTTTATTTTTTGAAGGTAATCCGGCATTTTTTTGAAACAGTATACCACTGTTTTGGGCATAGTGCACCTGTGGATTAGCACCATGGACAAAAGTGCTCCAGGGCCCCATTAATGAGTGACAAAGCACTGCTGCTTGCTAATCCAGCCGGGTATGAAAAGACGCTACTGGCATTCACCGAAACAAAGGGAATTAGGAAATAATACGCAATTTTGGGCTCTCTTACAGGGCCGCTGGCCTTGGTTGAATACTCGGGCGTCAGTGAAGGTTGCCTGATAGATTGGAGTAGCCACCAGATAGTCGTTCATGTGGTTGTAAACGTGCAGTATTAAAATGAACACATGAATTTTTGAAGAATTTTGAAAAGAGAAAATCTTGAAAAGGTCCAGCCATCACATCCTGCTTAAGAGAAATCCACCTGGCAGGTAGTGGTTGAACTCATGCTTTTTGTACATGTAGGTCACTCCATGACCATAATTTTGGTGCAATCTTTTATCATGATTCCATAAACCTGTAGTGTCAGATGCAATAGCCTCAGAGCATGTTCCCACCGTCGTGCTTGACTGTGAAAGTCTTTTTTGGCTTGAATGTTTCACCTTTGCTTCACCACATGCATATCATAGCGGCGGAAGAGCTCCAATTTCGTTTCATCTGATCAGAGAATGGACTTCCAAAACTCATTCTCATATTCCAAATGGTCCCTCACAACTTAAATTTGAAACTGATTTTTTGTTGGTTGTTTACTCCTGAGACCACCTTGATGAAGAGCCTTCACAACTGTCTTCATTCAATCTTCATATCCCGAAGTGGTCAGTTCAATGACGGTTGTCTTGACATCATTTACTGTTGTCTTTTTAAAGTCTTCAAAATCTTCTACATGCAACCTTACCTGGGTTTGAGTTTGTGCTTCCTTATTGTTTGTAATAATTTGGTGTATTGCCGTTCTGAATGTGTTGGTTTAAAAAGCAAAAGCTATTTAACCTTCAATCGCCGTGTGTGCATCCACTACTTTTATACAGTTTAGGATTATCTTAAGAATCTTAAAGGAATCTTTCATTGATTTCTTTTAAATCTCACAAATATTGTCGAATATTTTTTCTGCTCTTCTGTTTTTAAGAAATATATTGAAACACCCATGCAAAAAAGCAGAAACTCAGTTCTGTTGTACTGTTCTTAAATTATGTTTCCACTGTGGTGTTCATAACTGGATGTAACAAAATTCAATTGTATTGTCTGTGGTTTTGAAGAAAATTTTAAGAAATTACAAAACTTCCTGAATGTATTTCACCCAAAATGTATTGGTGAATGAAAATTGGAAAGAGAAAAACATACCATATTTCGTCAGGGCGAGCAATTCTGACCTTAACTATAAGTGGTCTAAGATTCCTGACGAAATTTGTTAACCCTTTTAATTTTTTCAGTCAAACTGAATTTCAGTAGCAGTTTGTAGGTTGTTCTGAATGAGCTATCTTTGCTTACATGTTCAAAAGAGGTGCTGTAATGCTGTTGCTGATTAGTCAGGCTCATGAATTAGTCATGGTTTGATCATCTCACTGCACACAAGTTCTGTACTTACCAATATTGTATGACCTTGAACTGCTTACCTGTATCCTTAGTAGTGTTGCTGAGTATTACTGCTAAATTTTACAAAAGCCAGCATCGTAACATTACAGAGAAAAACACTGTTAGTGGTTATGTTTGAAAGTGGCCAAAGTTGGTTGTATATTCTGAGGAAGTGAACCTGAACGTGTAAAATGAATCTAGACAGCCCATTTAGATCTTTTGTAGAACTTTTTGTTTTGGTCTATGAGCATTGCAAGTGATTAGATTAATTATTGACAGTGGATATTGGTTTCTTTTCTCTTTGCAGCAAGGAGGGAATGACCCATACTGCTTCGTAGAGTTTTCAGATCACAAACACGCATTAAATGCGTTAGTAATGAATGGTAGAAAGTTATTCGATAAGGTAAGTTCTGTTTGACTAATTATCTCATTATTGAATTAAAAAATTAGAATGAGCATGATTCAGTATGCCAGACCCTTGTAGGTGAACTGAAGAGGCGTCAACACAGCGTAAAGTGGTGCTTGAACAGGGCATTATTGTCTGTGGCTATTGCTCACCACTGTAGTAAGTTAATGGCAAAAAGAGATCCAAAGCCACTGTTTGCCTGACTCTGACATGGCATTCTTAGGGTGAGATTGTATTCAGAGTACTTTGAATCATCTTGGTCATTCCTGTTCTTGGCCCAAGAGGTAGCCTACAGTTCATTGCACATACATGTACATGTAGGTGTTCTTTTTCATGTTCTGAAGGCTGGCCTTTTATTATACTTGCATATTGTTATAGATGACACTATTCTTAATGCTTCAGCAGTCTGTGATAAACACCGGGTAGCCTTCATGAAAGATCAGAGTCCCTCACTGTTCAACTTGAAAACAGTTGCAGGGATGGAGTATGAGTATTCATTTGTTTCTTGACCCTAAAGTGATGCTTTTCTTGCCAAGAAGTCAATAATATTGAAATCCCACAGCTATATGTACTGTGCCATTGGCAGATTCTTTTTCATTCAGTGGAGTGTGATCAAATATGTGACCAGCTCCACAAAAATGCATATTATGGGCCTTTTTTTCTAAATTTGTTACATTCACATTTTAACTGTTTACATTATCAGGTTAAATTTTATGTAGGTTTGAACCCTGTTGCATTTTGCAATCTGTAGATAAAGCCATTTAAACACAAGGAGTGGGAAAAGAAAGCAGCCAAGTAGAAAGTCCCTTGAATATCCATACATGTACATGCAGCAACAGTTGGGTTTCTTGTATGAATTGTGAAAGTATTGATATAATAGAAGTCAATAAACCAAAGAAGTAAAAAAAAAAAAACCACCCTCTCCACATAGAATAACCCTTAGCATGAAATACCGGTACATGTAGCACAGCGTCCCTTAATGTCCTTTTTGCAGAGTTGGTCACATATTGACATTATTATACGTAATGTCTTTGGCTTCCATGTGTCAAATATAGTTTGGGGTAGGACCTAGGCGAAAGTGTGTTTGATCCTTAGGATTTATTTTCCAAAGTAAAATAAAATTGTTCAGGGGACTCTGTCTGCAATAACTTAATATTATACAATTATTGGGAAATTAATGTTGTATTGTGGCAACAGTGTACTTCCTGAGTTTCAGTGAACTCTATACTATAGATAGTATTAAGCTTTTTTTCAGAGGGGTTTATAGAGGGTTCATGTATGTTAAATTTAGCCCCAGTTCCATGTATACTTGGCTATTCGTGCACTATATTAGTAATATGATTGACTTTGACACCCACAGCTTCTCCATTTGGAGATCATGAGACAGTTCCTTGGAAACATGGAATTACCTTGATTACCTGGGATATCATTCGACAGAAACTTGGAACTATCATCATATAAATGCATGCAGTAGCTACAATGATTATATTTGAAACTATCAAATAATGTTTAAATGTAAATCAAGACAGTCAGTCCTTTATTTTACGTGAGACTTGCTTGACCAATCATGCTTGAGGGATTCCTGCAAGTTATGATTTCCACTAATTTGTTAAAGCCCTTGGGATGGGCTGAAGGATAGAATTCACAATTCTCTGATGAGTCAAGTTGATTTACTGGTTAGAAGGAATATAGTCTTAGCACACGTACAACTGTACTTGTGACAGCTTTTTAGCTTCTAATCTACATGTAAATGAAGAAAGTGAAGGTGATTTGACACAGTGTAACACAATCTTGTGATAATTAGTTTTCTTAAGTTGCATCTGCATCCACCCCCCTTCCAAAACCCTACCTTAGTCATTGTTGAGTTCCTGTCCTACAATGATATAAGCATAAATATCACAGTCAGAAATGTCCATTTTTATTTCTTGCCGTTAGTCTGTAACAGAAGACACTTTGTTGTATGACAGTGCCAGTATGCTTGTTGAGCAAACACACACTGGTTAAGGAATATGTATTTCCACCAAACAGAAATATAAAGACTATAGTCAGGACACTGTTGGGTAGGGGGCCTTGCTCTATGCTCTGTGCCAAATATGTGTGAGCCCCACATATTGTGACTCCTTGCAGTTTGCCAGATATCTATATACATGTGTAAATGTTCGTAACAGTTCATTTGAAATGATCTCAGTTGGTTAATTTTTCAACTCTGTATTCCTGAGCTTTGTTGAAAAGGACGAAGAAATCAGAGTTTTGGTATATGGTAAAATGGTATGCATTTGAACCATATATTGGTTATACTGCCCTCAGTTGGCTCAGATCACCTAGTCAATATCCCTGCCACATGTTGCAGGAGTTGAGGAGTTGAATGAAACAGCTGTGCACACAGTATGTGTTGGCTAATTGTCTTGGCTAGCAATTTGGTTAATACAAATTGTAAAAACAAACAGGGAATTGCAGCTTTTGGGACCCTTGTATCTTATAAATTGCTCTGAACCATTTTCACAAAAGTACAATTGTAATTTATTTTGCATTGAGGGCTTGGTGAAGCATCATTAATTTTCCCAGAAAAATCGTCTGGTTGTTGAAAGGATACTGCCTATATTCTCAGTGGAGTTGAACATCACATAGATGATATTTTTAATGGAAAATATATTTAGACTTTGGGGTAAAATCAGCATGTACTTGTAGTTCTGTCAGGAATATTGTTTTAGTGGCAAGTTGTTTTGTTCTACACATTTCTAACAGTCATCTTTTAATTAATTGAAATGCACCATTTCAAGGCAACGATCATGGTGTTTTAGTTTACAGGAAGCGGTGTTTGTTACAGGAAGCATATTTTTTACAACAGCAGTCTTGTGTTTGTGAAGTTTTCAGTCTCAGTTTTATGATACATGTACATGTACCTACATGCTAAGGAATCATCCAGGTTATGTTATCTTCAATGATATCCATATTATACTGCTTTTATGTACAATGTTCTAGGGGGTTTTAGCAGGGTAGGCTGTCCAACCAAAATTTTTACGCTGCCCCACTGAAGTTGAGCTGTGCAGCTTAATTTTTCATTGCTCTGCTACATAAGCAATACCAATACATAAGCAATAAGCAAGTACATGTAGTAGTATTTTCAATTTTCTTTTTGTGCCTTTTCTTTTGATTTTTACAATGAGCCTTTTTAACCAGTTTTAAAAGCTAATGGATTTGACAGAATCTACCCTTTAAGGAAGGAGGAAAGAAAATGCAATAAAATCCTGGCTTTCTGGTTTGCTGCTTGCTTTACCAGTGTGGATTAAAGCCTGTCGCTGAGCGAGGACAACAACTAATGATAGTTGATGGATAGCCACTCATTGGCTTTCGCCAGAGCCAGCCTTTCACTAGACTGGCAATGAGAGCCCTACTGTCTGCGTACATCTATGTGTATCTATAGCTTATGCTGTCACCTCATCCAGCAGGGAGCTGTTAGTGTGTATACAGAGAGGTTAGGGGCTAGGATAGGTGAAAGGATGCGAGTACCAACCCAACTCGTTGTGTTCAGTGTGATTGTACATGTACCTCAGAAAGTAGCCGTATTTGGTGTGATATTGCTTGGGCTATAAGTGCACAAAAAGAATGATGAGTTTGGGGAATTGGGGATGGTTTAACCCCTGTCAGGCTTTTTGTCAGGCATAGTGATCAAATTGCACAGTGCAAGTGCATTCATAATTGTAGTAGTTCATATACATGCACATGCAGCTCACGCAATCACTTGTTTAGCAGGTGCAAAGGCTAAAGTAGCAATCAGTGGATGAGGCAGAAAAGATAAGGGGAGGAGCTCAGATTTGGCAGAGAGGTGATGGTGTCAGCTATCCGAATCATTGAACTTGGATTAAACCCTACACCTGCTGTAGTGCATGGCAGGTGGACAAGTCTTTTCCTATAATCCATGCATTTGTGGATGGGTAATGGAGACTGGGAGGAGCTTTGAGATAAACATGTGGGCATCCCTAAACTTGCCTTATATTATTCCCTCAAAATATCTACATTTTAGGGCTGATTAATTGCAGGTGGCACAGCTTTAACCAATTTATCCTTCAAAGTTGGAAGAGAGTGCTTCAGTTACTACTGTGTGTCAGTTTCATTGAAATTGAATAAGCAGATGGTAAAGAGGGTTGATGGGGTCTTCAGGGAAGGAAGGGGAGTCTTGTTATTTTTTTTATTAATCTTGGGTTGCTGCAGATTCCTTTTAATCTCATGTTTGCTTTTAATGCTTCATGTACATGTAGTTCAAAGTACACGTATGTATCTTTGGTTGTGACCACCAGACCATGGACTGCTGTAAGTGAAATTGAGAGGAAGACATTGCTCATATTTCTGGAGCCAGCTTTGATTGGAAGATCGTAGAAGAGACACAGTTACACTCACTATGTAATGTCTACATGCAAGTGTGACAAATTGCACAGATGACAGGTGCCTGGCATGTTCTGAGCAGGGTTTCTTGTTTACTTGTGCTGGCAGAGATTTTTTTTCAGATTCACATTTTGGACATTAGTTACATGTAGCTTTCTTGACAAGCACATCCACCCATTGTAAAACCTAGCCTGAAGATACATCATATGATGTGTGTATGTAGCCACCTACGTTGTGAAATCTTTCTTGAGAGGAATTCTCTCCCTGTCTTACAGAAGCAGGTCAGTGGCATTGCATGGCTTTACCATACCTTGACCGTCGATTGTCCCAATCCCAGCTGTTAAGATTCGCACCATTATGGGAAGCCACTCATCAGTTCTGTCTTCCAATTAGCATTGACAGATTCCATTCTGTTTTTCACTGAAGTCGGGTAGTCAGCTGTGTCAGAGTGTCACCTGTGGTTTCTGATGTTTCCTGACCCTTTATATGGTCAAGCACTCCACTGATGACTGAATGGGCTTCCCTGTAAATTGAGGCATTCAGCATTTCAGGGTGCCTTTTGTGACAAGGCTCAAATGATAGGGGTACTGAATATTTTTTTAATAAACTGAGAA